TGGGGTTTCTTCATCTTGATAAATTAAAGCTGTTTGGAAAACAAACTAGCCTAAAACAAATGTTTTATACCTCTTAACAGTGTCCTAAGATAGTATAGCTATAAATATATTGTGAAGATAAAAAAAAATAATAAAACAAACAAAAAAAAAGATTAAAGTGGTTCTCTCAATATACAGATCTGCTCAGTGCCAGATCGGATCGGGGTCCTGAGCCTGCTGATGACGTCGCATTACAGCCAATCCGCTCGGCTTTCACACATAAGTTTCGGAAAGACATCAGCAGTTTTGTTAATAAATTGTTGTTTGTTGCCTAAATGTTTTCTGTATAATTGTAAATGATAAAACACCATATTGTCTTTGTTTTGTAAAGAATGTGAAACTACATAAAACCAACATCAGACTGCCAAACATAACAACAGTTCTGATATGTGAAGCCATGCCTGTTTGTATAAATGTGGAATTCATCTGTATATTTCCCTAGTTTTGTAAATACATTCATTCAATCAAAATGTTGCTTGGTGTTTTTTCAATAAAGTTCTTATTTTATTTTGCCCCATTTCATGAAAATCAAGAGCTTTTGAGGCTCACCGTTCATCAGTTGATAGTTTTGCTTTTATTTTACATTTCCTTTGGAAATTCAAACATATTTTCTCCTAAAAGTGTTGATTTTTGGAATACAGGACTACAACCACTAAGACTACAACCGTAAATTTGTTCTGATCAATCAAAATCATCATTGTCAACATGCTAACATAACTTTTACGAACGTGGTATCGTAACTTTCGTAAGTCTTACGTTCAGTCAATCATCTACTGTGACGTATTTGGCAGACGCGAGACCCGGAGCCGATCTGGTATCAACACCAGCTGCTACCACTTCAACTTTAGGACAAACTATCAGAGTCCCCAAAAGAAAAACAAGGTTTAAAGTCACGGATAACACAAAACTTTTGGACCTAGAAAAAGGCGACTGGTGTTTAGAGCTATCTTGTTTCCTCTGGCTTCGCGGATTTTTGATTCAGAGTTACTGAGTGGAACCTTAAATCACGCTGAATGATTATGATGACATCAGCAGACGCCATCCAAAACAGCCGGCATTAGAAAATTAGAAGAGTTGCTGGTGAAGCTGGATAGAAGCACAAGCAAATAAGCATTGCTTGCACTGCTTTAAAATTGCTGTTATTAAACTCTCAACTCCAAAAAAAAGCAGCAAAAATTACTTCTACAATGACGTAATTCACGAGGCGTTGTTTTCTCAGAGCATCTTTAAAAAATGACGCTTCTTCTGGTTATTGAACGCCACATTTTACATTACACAGCAGCTGCCCCGGTCTTCAGAATAAATTGATTTCTTGGACGTCAACAGAATTAACCTTTTAACATTACTGTAGATGGTTTTTGGCGCTGATCAGTGACATCACTTACTGCCAAAGCAGTAGCGATATGCTGACTTCCGTGAAAAGTTTGTATTGAGATAGCCGAGAAGGACCGGGCCATCGTGTCTCTTGGTCAACCCTCCCAGAAATTACCCAGAAGTTTTGACAATGGAAACATGCCTATTATCAAAAATAAGTTTTAATTTCAAGCACTAGTCGCAAGGATCCTAGCAGCACCCAACCTAGCTAAAACAACATGGCCGACTGTTCAGCTTTGTTTCTTTTAGCTGTCATTTCTCACCAGGCACACGTTTCCCAAAATCTTTCTTGTTGGGAGGCAAGAAGATGTTTGCTGTCAGAAACAGTCGACTAGCAAGACCTGAAACTGCTACGTGAATCACACACAGATCTAAAGGTTTCTGTTTCCCTCCTGAAGCCATGGAAGCTAGTAAAAAGGTTTGAGCCTGACACATGGATTCTGAGAGTTCTGTCATCCCAGTCCAGCTTGCTATATCATCACTTGTCAAGTTGACAGTTCACAGCAGGCCAAAACAACCCTCGAGCGGTGAGGAAATGTTCTGGACCTTAAGGCTGTCAGCGAACAATCAATGGGGCAAACTGAAGTGTGAGACAGCAGCTAGCTAGCGCTGACACTCTGAAACTATCCCACTCAAGTCTAAAGACTGGTTTGAGGAGATTTTTATTAGCGTGAGAATGAAACTTTGAAGCAGCTGTAGGATTAACCAAACTCAACCATGTGGCATATTTAGGCAGCTGTTTTGATCACCGTGTCAAGAATGTGGCAGCATTGGTTGACTTATTCAAGAATATTAGATGATCCACTTAAGCTATTTGTTTATTTTTACATTTGAGGAATAAGTCTACTAGAAAGAAGATGTGTATACCTAGTAATTATGTATTAGAGCTAATTTGAATACTACATTGAATCAACCAATCTTTTTGGTGTCAGAACACCTCTATAGATTTAGTTTAGAACATATTTAACATACTTTTTCTTAGGTTTACTGGTATTCTTAAATAACTGGAAGCTGTTTTATCTGTGTTAGATTTGACGTCTGTCACCACCACAAAGCCTGTCACTGCCAGTGCCAGTTTTAGCTGCTGTGGTTTGTCCTTTTTGGTCTTTTACATTTGTAAGTGAAAGACTTAATATGAAACTCAAGCTTTAGTTTCAAAGTGTATAACTTAAAAGTGAGTGGGAACAGGGATGGAACAAGACTATCTGGATCCTTTGTAGCGTTTATGAGTTTTTGTGGCTCCTGTAGCGCCTCACTCTTGTTGACGGAGGTCATAAATACATTTTCAGATGTTTGTTTTTCCTGTTTTCTCTGGATTTAGGATGGGGAGAAACATTAAACATTTAAACAGAAACCCTTTGCAGATGTTTTCCCTACCCGCTCCTCGTGTGGGGCCTGTACTTTGGCCATATTACTTTGCCAGCAAAATCAACTCAGTCATGAGCAAATGCTGCAAATCTCACCTCATCTTCTCTTTTAGGGGTCTTCAAAATGGTGACTGAAAACTTGTCATGAAAAAGAGGTTGAGCTCTTTGTCCCAAATTGGTTGGTCTGATCTTGAATGTAACAGTTTGCAGCCTTACACTTTTCATCTTTGAGTAGACATTGGGCCCTACACTTAAAGACGTTATAACAAATGTGCAAACAAGCTAGGTGTGGAACGCAAACATGGTCATGGAACACTCACCCCTCCCCTCGAGTGTCTTCCCTGAGACGCTTCTGCCAGAACTAGAGGCACGGATGAAACGAGATAGTGCTAAACACCAGTCGCTGTTTTCTAGGTCAACGTGTAATTTGCTGTCCGAGACTTCAAATTGTTTTTCTTTTAGGGACTCTAGTAGTTTGGGAAGTGCGGAAGTGTGGCTAACTGTTGCTAATTCACCGTTAGCATTGTAAACTCAACTTTAGCTTCGTAAGCTCAACGTTAGCTTCACTCGATAGTAGAGTAAAACAAAAAGACGCCGTGGCTTCTTAGGGGTACAAGAAATAACTTCTGAGTCACTTCCGTTACTGGCTTAAGATCTTTTCTAAACATTGCAGAGTTTGCTGGCGCATACTCGGCAACCCCACAGGCTCACAGATTGTAAACCAAGACTACGTCCCTTTTTGGCCATTTTGGAAGGATAACCTGATAACCCCTCAGCCAGCTAACAAGAAAATCTGTTTCAGTGTAGCCCTTCTTACATGACAGAGACATTACTGTTTTGTGATTATTTCACTGTAAAATTCTGACATATTATACCTTTGAAGGAGAAAATACTTTTGTTTCATGTAGTTGCTCCAGCATTAAAGTGTTTCTAGACACCATAAAGTCTCATGCTCGGCACAGCTGGAAGCACATTCACACTCTGCAGCCATAAACAACCACTGAAAGCCAATGCAGCTGTGCACTCAAACCATTTACTTCCAATACATTTTTTAAGGATTAAATACACAGCTACCAGTAAATTATATACACACACACACAGCTATGACAATACAGCTGCATACACACATCTGGAAGTGTGGATTTCTGTGTATTCATATCCGGCTACATTAATCCTGATATTTTCAAGTGCAACTGAACTGCTCTGAGGTAATTATAGATCATTGCAAGTATCTGACGTAGTCCTTAATGAACACTTGTTGCAGACCCCAGAGAAGCTATGGGATCTTTTCAAGGACAGCTGGCATTATGAACACAAAGCATCCGTGGAACTTGAACCCCAAAGGCTCCTCAGCTTTGAGGTTCTGCTGGATGGGAGATGCAGTCAAAGCACAGATGGGCGGGAGGTATCAAGTAGAACGTGAGATTTAACATGATCATTTCTTTTTATTTAGACGTTTTTGAGTGCAAGACGTTTTCTAATAGAACTAATAACCAGAGGTGTGGACTCGAGACACGACTTGGACTCGAGTCACTATTCTAATGACTTCTGACTTGACTTTATAAAATCTGTAAAGGCTTATGACTTAACTCAGATTTGAATGCCAATGACTTGCGACTTGAATCGACTTGCATCTGTTGACTTGGTGATGACTTGAGCATATTTGATATTTTAGCACAAAAGTGGCACGACATGGACAAAAATCATGAATCATTCTTCGTTCTGGGTTTGATCTTGTTCTGCTAAATGCAGCAGCACTTTGCTTATAATCAACTTCAGTTGCACTTTCTGCTTGTTTGAGTAAATGGAGCTTTAGGCGCTTTAATTCTGGAATTTATTTATCATTTTCATTAAATTGAAGTTGGACAGATGACTTGATTATGACTTGAAAATTCAAAGTTAAGGACTTGGACTTCCACATCATTGACTTTGGACTCGACTTGAATGTCTTCGACTTGACTGGAAAGACTTGTGACTTGCAGTGACTTGGTCACACCTCTGCTAATAACTGTCCAAAGAATACAAATCCTGCTTCAGGTGAGGTTAAAGGGGGGGTCAGATCTCGCTACAACTCTGTTCTTACTCTTCTCATATTTCCTAAAAGCACACAAATGGTGTTCTTATGAAGCATTTGGCAGTGTCCGCCTTTGATGTGTTGGCTTTTATTCCACTTCATTTCTGAGGAAATTGCACCACCTAGTGGAAACCATGAGACAAAGCTGAATGTTTCCATATCAAAGTTTATTGCTGACATGCAAGTAGAGATCTGATGTAGAAAAATATTTTTATACAAATGTGTTTATCTGTACAATTATTCAGTTTTCTGTATACAGATGCCCATATCCAACCAAGCAGCTTACAACACATTCTCCCATGGGATCAAAAAGAACAAAACACCCATCCTACACCAGATTACAGCCGGAAAGGTCAACATTGACTCATTTGTAGTATTTGAACAGCTGGGGGAAGATCTTTCTGATTTTATTACTTTCCGTTTCTCCAACATACCTCACAAGTTCCAAATCGTGCAAAAGTAACTTGTTTGACAGAGTTCAACTACAGGTGAAATTCAAAATACGAGAATACGGTGAAAATGTTCGTTCCTTAAAAGGTGAAACTCATATTTAAGATAGACCCATTCCATGCAAATCCAGATATTTCAAGCCTTTACTTGTTATAATTGTGATGATTATGAAAACCCCCAAATCTAAATCAGACAATTAGAACATTGTGAAATGGTTAAATATTCTAGACTCAAAGTGTCACATCCTAACCAGCTAATGAATCCAAAACACCTGCAAAGGGTTCCTGAGCCTTTAGATGGTCTCTCAGTCGAAGACAAATGACTGAAATAAACGGACTTTTGCACAATATTCTGATTTTTGGAGTTTCACCTGTATTTCTATTGATTTGAGTCCACGATGCAGTTCACAACTCCGTAAAAACAAACATGGGACGTGGTGAGAACCACCAGCTAGAGGGCAAAACCCTTTAGGGATCAGGGAGAGAGCATACTCATCGTGTCTCGTGGGAGATGGTGGAAGACACTCGAAGCAACCTTTAATCACAAACTACCTAGACCACTACAATACTGCTGCATACCCATGGGATTCACATTGAGATGGGAGAAAGCCAGCGGCTCTCTTTACTATCGTTAGCCTCCAGGTGTGATGTTTGACGGCCTGACGTGTTGCATGCAGAGGTGCCAAGTTACCGGGTGGAGCTGCTGTACATACAATGACCGCCATGACAGTCACGATGGTGCATTATCTATTTACATACTGACCACAAAGCGCAGCCTTGAGTAGAAATTTAGGGGAAATGGCAGAAAAACACCCCCTCATGAATCGAGATAATGATTTTATTTATTTCAAAAATAGAACTATGCAAAAGTCAGTCTTGTTATTAGTGTAGCTTAAGTTTACCACAAAAAATGGCAAGAAAACAATTTAGTAATGAAAACAAACACAAATGCTACTGTTTAATGAAAAAAAAACAAAGCTTGTGATGGCCTTGGTGGAACCGCTGTGTGAGCGAACGCTTCTTAAAGCTGAGAAAAGGAGACGTCGGGCTTGTTTCTTCGTCTTAAGTTAACGCTGAAAGAAACTTTTTGATGGTTTACAATCAATGTCTGTGATCCAAGCACCAGTGGTTTCAGGGGGAACGTTTTACACAAGTGAATAAATAAATCAACACAATAAAGACATTTCAGCAAAATAATCAGAGGCTGTGTTCATGCAATCAGTTTGAGTGGAAACAGGAAGCAGAAAGCCTAAAGCGGGTACCAATATGCAAAGGCAAGAAGCAGAGCACAAATGTCTAACAGTCACTGAGAAGTTGCTTCGACGGGGTTTAAAAGAATAAAAACAGAATTTGTCCAAAAATAAATAAACAAAAGCCAAACGAACCCAGAAGTAGTTAAAAATCGATGAGTTGTGTTTTCATTTACCTACGAAACGTTACAGTACTGATCACCGGCCACTAAAGCCTCACAAGAGCCTTATGGTGCGATAGGACAAGCAGGATGAGCACGAGTGGGGCTTCGGAGTGGGAACGTGGGGCGTACGGGATCTTTTCCAATCCTAAAGCATTCGTGGTATTCCCAAAAACATTCAGCCAGGCCCTGTTCGGGTTTTCACAGTGTCTGCCGCAGAGGCAGGCCGAATACCAGAACACCATGATTGTAGGAGGGTCGCAGAAAGGGTTGAGGGGTTCAACAGCTCAACACACGGGTATGGAAGTGGAACGGTGGTTCGCATTCACCCCAATAAAAACCACTTTTTCCACAGTTGTTAGGAATGAGGGGGAAACAGGGAAGCTACCTGGAAGCCATGTTCTAAATGAGTCGGGAGTACCGTTTTCCTTGGCTGAGAAAAGATTTTGTTTTTTTTTTCTGGCAATGGAAACATGCCAGTGCCGTGTGGCGACACTGAGGAAGAGTTAGCGTCAGGAACGCTTTGGCCTCATTCAGTTCTTGGCATTGTGACTCCCAGGAACCCTACACTAGCTGCCTAGGACAGATCTCCACGGAGGCGAGCAGAAGCAGGACAACGCACAAACGACTTTCAGGTTTTCTTCAACGATAAAGACACAAAATGCTACTCATTCAAGGTAAATGAAACAAAGCTTATTCAAAAATCTTTAGAAACCACTGAAAAGGTTTCACGACAATTTCACTGCGACAAGACTGGTTTGTTACAATCCCTCGTCTCAGAACGGCGAGCGCGGGTTACCGACAGAGAGGACAGACAAAGAGGTAGATTGATTTGAAGTCAGAGTGGTGGACAGAACAGTAACGACTTAGAGGAGGAAGGTAGACTGGAGGTATACATAAGTGATCCGACTTGAGGCAATACCAAACCACGATGGGAAGGTGGGGATGGGTGCTACATGATTCTGGACCTGTATTGCTCTGGTGATCCAGAATTGAGAGGGACGTGTTGCAACAAGGAGATCTGGTGGGAGGAGGAGGAGTTTCTTTAACACTACAGGCACAGCCGCGCGTCGGCGCCACGCGTGACTGAGCCAACCGACTTGTTGCACAGTGACTGTTGGCGACCTGAGGGCAAGGAACCTTTGGCTCAGAGTTCCATCCTGGTCTTTGAACGTTCGAGAGGGAATCCAGACAGGCAGAAGCTCGGAGTTGGAAATGTGTTTTGGTGCCCACCTTCCATCTGCTTTGCCTGGCTTGCAGAATCCACGAATACGAGTCTTTTCTGCTCTGCGAGCTCCGGCGGGGCCTCGAGTGCCAGCTCAGTCCCAGGGCTCTCTCTTCGGAGTCCGTTCTGGTCTCTGCAGGTGTCTTTGCTCTCTGGAGTGGGCGACCATGGGCTATTTCCGGAGGAACCGCTGGGCGAGGATGGCAGCATCTAGCGGACTGACGGGTTGGGCGTCGTGGCCCAGACGTCTAACAGGTGGGATGCTGCCAAACTGCCGGTTGCTGAGAAAGCTCTTGGCGTCGTGGCAAGTGTTCTTCTCCTCCGCCAGCAGCAGCTGCTGGCGCATGTAGTTCTCAAACTCGTACTGTGAAGACTCTTCAATCGCCTTGGCCTGGGTGAAGAGAATATACTCAACTCGGTGTACCGCAATCAAAACACGTTCCCCATTAGCAGCTGTGGATCTGTGGCTTAGAATTAAGTTCGTCATAAATTAATAATAAGAGTTAATCCAGACGTATTTGTGGTTTGGGCCTGCAAACACACATCTGAGTAAATCTCACCTCTTGTAGATGTTCTGGGTGATTAAGCTGATCATCGATATCTGGAACCACCTGCAGAGGGCCGCTCATCGATGAAATGGACTGCCTACGATTCAAACAAACAAAACAATCAACAAAGAAGAAACTATTCACTGCCGTCCGCAGAGCACCCAACGGAGCTAAGCTCCCCGACTCATCGAACAGACCGACTGCCTTTTGCTGCCTGATAATTTACAAATCCTGATGTAGTTTCTCAACCGTCCAGCAGAGGGTGCATTTACCACGAGGCGATGATGGCGCTGAGCGACTCCAGCACTTCTCCTGCAGTCAGTCTCTGCTGAGGGTCCAGCACCAGCAGCTTTCGGATGAGGCACACCGTGTTCTCTGACACACGGCCGTCTCTGTGGGGCGGAGGGAGCAGAAAGGAGCCCGTTTAACGACAAAACTAACCCCAGCCTTACAACGTTCACTTTAAAAAGGTCTTAAACTGGACAGAAAATGGGAAAAGTTTTCTGTAGATGCATGAAATTAAACTTCATCTGAGGCCTGTCCATCATTGAAGCTTTGAATGACGGATGAGGATGGAAAAATACCCTTAAATTGTTTGACCATAACCAAGCTCGATGGTGAATGAATGACCATGAATGAGATAACTCTTGTCTATGTGTGATTGCAAACACTCACTCGGGGATAGAGTACTCTGCAGCTTTGATCTTCCGGAAGAGCTCTTGAGGTATGCTGTCATAAAAAGGAAACTGGCCGTACAGCATGGTGAACAGGACCACGCCGAGCGCCCACATGTCACTGGGTTTGCCATGGTACGGACGACCTATGGCAGGAGGAAAAGGGCATTTGAGTTTGTTTTTCTAATTAACAACAGCACCTAAACACAAGACACAAAGCGTGATGTTAATTTGGCGCAATAAAAGTTTATATCCTCATGACTCAGACGTGAGCGAGCACGGAACGAGTCCAATCCCCGTCGAGCGAGCCGGTCTGATGATTAACAAAACGAGCAAACACAAACACAAGCACTGACTCAGTGTTCGTACGGCTCCTTACACATTCTCAGAACCGTGGGTGGACTTTGGCGTCGGGTCGGGGGGGGCGGTGCTAAAAAGCTGACTGGTCTGTGGAAGTGTTTGTGTCCAGTCGCTGGTGGTTTAACTCATTTTAGTTGACTAAAAGTGTTTATCTTGCAGGAAAAACAACTTTATAATTGAGAAACTCACATTTCTGACAGAAAACAGAAAGGGAGGAAGAACGGACCCAACAGTCTGCGGACGTTTCGTGGTAAACTAGCCGGACGTATTGTTGGTTCCACTTTAAAAATAAAAACACGGAAAAACCTTAAGATGCACGACTGCTCAGAGCATGCAAGCTTCTCCTGAGCTGGCAGGAGCAGGATGGGGTTACCATCACAGCCGTGCATTACCGGCGTAGACCATGTTACAGCCAGGGTGGCGACAGCAACAGCAGTGAGCAATTATGTTAAAGCTTGTGACACACACACACACACACACACACACACACACACACACACACACACACACACACACACACACACACACACACACACACACACACACACACACACACACACACACACACACACACACACACACACACACACACACACACACACACACACAGGCGGGGGATGGGAGTAGTTTCCCTCTAGTGAGTCATCAGTGCATGAGTCACTGATGCCGTTTCATCGTGTGCCTGTGTCACATTATGCTGATCTGTGTGTGGAGCTTTTATCTGCAGCTTTTTAACTGGTTGGACAGAAAATGTGTGTGTTTGAAACCATTGTGAATCCACGCTGCACAAGACGTTGCTCAGCAACCCTGTCCGTGATCAAACCGGTGCAGCTACGGTGGAAGAGCGTCGGCGTTAGTGGAGTGCAGTCCTCGTGGACCGTCGTTGGGCAACGAACAACGGGCAGCTGTGGAACAAAAGCCGATCCGAGCTTTTCTCAGACCAAAAGTGTTAGAAGGCAGCTCCCTCTGTATGTATGAGAAGGTGCAACATCCCCGCGATTACAGAGAAGAGGGGTTTTACCAGTCCGGGGTTGCGACATAGCATCCTACTCGTTGCTTAATAATTGGAAAATCAAACAGCGGACTGAACTGCTAACGTTGCACAATGCCTTCAGAAGGATTCCTCGGTTCTTTTGTGACTCACTCACGGGTGACTTCTCTCAGAGCTTTTAGCTCTGAAATTGCCACATTTTATTTGGATTATTGAGTTTCTCTTGAAAACAACATCAAGATTCCTCCCTTTTACCGGCCGTGATGACATTTTCACACTCACGCGATCAATGAAAGCAACACAGGTATGACTGCTGGGAGAGGAATTTCAAGGTGTCAGAAGCAACGGGACAGTCAGACAGAAGCTTGAAACAATTTTCCGCTCATAAAAAAATATTTTAAAGGTTTTACACGTGTCACATTTTCACTCACCACTTAATACATCAGGGCTAATGTAGGCGGGACTCCCTCGCTGGTCTTTCAGCAGGTCGTCCTCACTCACCAGATGCTTCCCCAGACAGAAATTAGTGATGGTGATGCGATGAGTCCTTGAATCAGATCAAAAGGAACACATCTGATGAATACTATGTTGTACTTAACTTAAACCTGGTGAAATGTATCAAATAGTTCCAGTTTAATGTGGTCAATATAAACTCATTTTGAGGATGTTGGGGACATAAAGCACTAGCTGGCCTTGAGAAACAAAGACTTGAGGAAGGATGAGCTCGTGTCGCCTGACATGGTCACGGGCTGGGTGAAGAATTTCAGTTTCAGCTCCAAATAATCACAAACAAAAAATAAAACCACAAAAATTGTCAGCACCAATTTCCAAGGAGCAAAATGTACGTGAATTAACGAAACGGTCTAATGTGTCAGTCGTGTTGGGAGGAAGGTTACATTGAAGCGGATTTCCTTCTCAGCCAGCAAAAACAAAAGAGGGCCGCAGCTACCGTTTCCAGTCAGTGAGTTTGTGAGGTTGCCTAGTCTGTCCTAAGCTAACGCTGCAGCGCGGCATTTTGTAATTCGACACCAGCATTAAACAACTGATGCCAGTAAACAGGAGTGACCCAGAGATTATTTCTTGGACCACTAAGAAGCCATGACATGTTTTTGTTTTACTCTAATATCAGGTGAAGCAGGCTACTGGCTAACGTTGAGCTAACAATGCTAACAGTGAATTAGAAGCAAATAGTCGGCTTTAAAAAACATCTGAAACCGTTTTTCCAGTCACCAAAAACTCGATATTACAGTGAAATATCGAGTGTGTGTGAAGTGAATAATGAGTCAATCATGGCGTTTTACTTCCTTTAATGAGTCGTTCAGAACTATAACAGCAAGATGGTAAACAATCAGACGTCCTCTAATCTGGGAGACGTATTACCGTAATAAGTGCAGTAAGTGCTCCCTACCATAAAACACCCAACCGTGCCAACACCAGATATGACAATGTTTTATCTACTTATCACCTTGCTGTACGCGACTCATCTTCGCTTATCACCTAGAATCTTCCATAACTGGCAACTGCCTCGAAACTCACAGAACAGCAATGAAAAAGTAAAGTTTTGTTCAGAAAAATGAGCTGCAGTAACCAAATCTGACCACAGGATGTCATTCTTACATACTGCACCTTTAAGGTATGTCTTAATTGATTAAAAGCTGCAAAAATAATTTATAAATATTCATAATGCAATCAATCAAAACTGACTTGAAACGTGTGCTTGTGCCACTGCAACTCTTTTGGAATAATAATAATAAAACAAAACTCTATAAATCGTTGAATTAAAATCTGACACTCTTCACGTAATTTGGTGTTTGAAGAAAGGCGTTAAAATAGGTCATCAAAGTAAATTTAGCTTTCTTATGACAGAGTGAAACCTGCCAGTACTCGTCTGAAGTCGAAGGCACCGTGAGCGCTTGCCTGTAGGGAAAAAAAACTCATCATGACACAAGAAAGCGGCCACCGTCTACGGCTCGGGTCCTCTTTGCATCACGCTCTTTACCCACATCCGCTTTCTTAAAAGCCTGAGGTCAACAGCTTCCCCTTTTCTCTCTCACTTTCACACCCTGGTCCATCACACACATCTATTGCTCCCATTACAGCACCTGGAGCAAACGCCTGTCCAACACGCAGCCTCGATCCTCCCTGCACAGCAGTCACTGTGGGGTTGAACCCTTTTTCTAGCTGCTTTGCTAAGCCACACAGCGGCTTTGTGCACTGCACGCAAACCAGCCAACGGAGAGGAGCTTCTTGCTCAACAGAAAGGCTTCCTTTACAAGAGTCTGCGTGCATCGCGACCCGAGCTTCTATTCTTGCACCGGAGATTGGATAAATGAAATTGTGTGTTTGCCTCATGAGGCAAGACTCCCCGAGGACTGCAGCGAGACCGCACCATCCCTGCTTCCTGGTCACATGATGCGGAGTGTGCTAGGAAACCAGAGACCTAAATGCTCCAGTGACTTCTCCTTTCCGCCCCTTAATAAAAATACACCGGATGACGAGAAAGGAGGTTAAACTCAGGGCAGCTTCTTCATAAAGCAGCAAATATCATTTCTCAGAACTGTTGGGGGTCGGTTATTTAAAGGCCTCGATAACAGCTCGTCGTTTTCGTTGCCAAGTTTTAATTTAAAAATGCCCCCCACCCCCACCCCCCCACCCACTCACATCTATGCTCTCATCAACAAAAATAAGCTGAGACGGACATCACATTTTCAGGAAATCCTGACTTCCCAACAGCTGTGAGAGGAAAGCACAGCACTGTTGCATAAACTGTTGTCATTGGTGCGATTCCCAGAACGATGACGAGGGGGCTTTTGAACCAGAATGCATCTGAACAGCCTACATGGTCCCACTCTGACTGCACCGTGACACCCATCTGAGCTGGGATGACAAGCAGCCACGCGAATGAAGCGTGGAGATGCACCAAGAAGACAAACGGAAAATGTAAATAGAAGAAAAACAAAACAGAACGTAGAGTAAATAAATGTTGATTATCTGTGTAGACGTGCGTGCGTGCGTGCGTGCGTGCGTGTGCGTGCGTGCGTGTGTGTGTAGCCTGCACTGCAGTGAGTCAGTTCTAAGCTATTGAGCCTCTGGCACAGCTCCTTTGTCTCCAGCTGGGACGAAGTGTTCTGCTCGTCTGCTCCTCTCCCCACCAACCCGCGTCCCCTGGCCAAAACACTCTCCTATTTCATCACTACTGCTTTTACTGCTGCTGCTGCTGGTGGAGGGGGTTAGGGGGCTGCCGTAGAAGGCGCAGAGTGTGTGTGCAATAAGAAGATGAGCTCTAAAGGCGCGTACTCAGACCTTTTATACAGGTGAAACAGTTTGGAGAACCTCGGTTATGATCACTGGTGGGAGATGCAAACATGCTTTATATTTAGGAGTCCAGGTGTGAGAAAAAGTAAAAATAAAACAATACGAGTTTAGAGATAATCCCAAACTTTATGTTGGTCGTGTTTTGCTACAGGGAAATGAGCGTGTTACTGTCTGCAGTAAGTCGGTTTTCAGTCCCTCAGCCGGCACAATGTGCTCCGAGTTGCCTGAAGTTCATGAAGAATCTAAACAGCAGAACTTCTGACACGCACGTGTGTGTGTGTGTGTGTGTGTGTGTGTGTGTGTGTGTGTGTGTGTGTGTGTGTGTGTGTGTGTGTGTGTGTGTGTGTGTCAGCTGCAGTCCTTTAGTCTTGAACCTGTAGCCACGCATTTCTTTCTAAACTCAAACTACTTTTTTTCAAATGCATGTTCTGTATAAAAAAATTGGCCAATCACAGAGCTCCTTTCACAGAGAGAATAACAAACAAGTCTCTGCTTATGCTTCGGGTGGTTGCCGAGTTTACAGATGACTTGTTTTTCATCCTGCGTGTCCCATCTGAGCTGCAGCCCTCTGACCCGAGGTATCCTCGGCCGGATCGCAGCGTTGCTCGTTCGCCCTCAATCCCAAACACTTTCCCACTGAGATCAAAGCGGAGGCAGACTATCTTTCTGTTCTGCTCAACACCAGAGTTCACTTTCCAAAACCCAAACATAGCGAATGAATCATATCATTACTCAGCTCGCTGACAGACTCACTCTCATGCACGAGAGTCTTCAGGCTTTCGAGAGGAATCTCACTCTTGGTCAAAGAATGTGACCTGGTTTAAAGCTCCGAGCTGCTGGGGCCACTGAGGCATCCTGCACAGAACTGTGCAGGAGAAAATACCAGCTCTCTCACCAGTAAAGTGATCGACAAGCCTTACCGTTTGTTCAGCACCATGTTTCCCAGCTTGAGGTCTCTGTGCACAACGTTTTTCTGCAGAAAAAGGGAGAAGGGACAAGAAAGTCACACTGTGTTTCAGGGAGGGGCACGCAAGCTTTGGAAACGACTAATCAAAACAAAAAATAAAGCTACTTCTGCTCAAGTTAGTCCGAAAGCTGTTTGAAAGTTTTCCCCATTAACTCATTCACTGCCATTGACGACAGAAGTCGTCATTTGCATTTTTTACTGTGTGGGTGTCGGAATGAGGCCCCTGCACCGTGAGAACAAGCATCCCAGCTCTAAATCCGATCTTCATTCGCATACGTCACGTGACCAGGAAGCAGAAAATCCATGTGTTAAGCTGGGCGTACATTGTGCGACTATTTCACTTTTTTGAGCCGATTTTCCAGTCGTGCGAGAATCCACGACATCGGGGCGAGTTTTGCGCCGAGCGGTCGTGTAGTGTACAGGGGGTTACGAGAGGCGATTAACACCACGTGACCAGCCGCCGATCAGCAGTCGTGAGGTCGCACGGACTTCTGGCGTGTTTAAAATTTCGCTCGTCCCTCGTGAGGGTATCGCACTGTTGAAGCGGCGCTGCGAGCAGCTGCGACCCAAAAAGTATCATAACCGCTCACGGCGCATGCGCAATCCTGCTTCAACGCCGGTCGCTCGCTATTTCCCTAATAACACACGCTGTTCGTTTTTGTTTCTACACGTTTTTTTACTCACAAAGATTGTCAAGAAAGCGTGTTTGTCGTGTTCATGTCAAATTAAACTGATCACAAAACACAGATTTACTTTCTTTATTTCGTTTTGCTCATCCAGCCCCCATAAATCCCTGTGTGTCCTCCTGCAGCACTCCCGAAGGACAACAGGCAAAACAAGACAAAAAAGTCTGATGTGTTGTGTAAAAACTGCTATTTTTAGCACATTTTTAGGGCCGACGTGTTGCTACCAGATGTACAGTGTGAGCAGTCAGGTCGCATCCGAGAACTGGGTCGTGCAGTGTGAGCACATGACTCGTGAGATCTGCTCTGCGAGGAAGTCGTACAGTTTGAGCTGAAGCTGAACACTGCGAGTGAAAAAGTCGCACAGTGTCCGCCCGGCTTTAGGAGACCGTTTTGGGCCGCTGCAAAAAAAAAAAAAAAAAGCGAACCGGAAAAGCTTCTGCTGATCACACTTCCACAACGGATTATTAAAGAACAGATAACACTGGAAACGCTCCGATTCTTCCTGATGTAAGAGGTGAGTCTCCTCTTTGTTTTGGTTGTTTGCTAGTTTTGGCGTTGACATCATCATAGAGCGCAACGTTCTGCGACTCTTAAAAAACAGTGAAAACGCTGAAAAACGCTGGCAGCGAAGAGCTTTTCTGACTAGGAAACGGAAGGCAGTGAATGAGTTAAGGAAAAATAAAGAAATCCTTTTTAAAGGGGACTAATCCTAGGACTGACCTTATGAAGGGCTTCCACCACACGCACCACATCGTAGAAGATGACAATGGCCTCGCGCTCGCTCAGCCGCTTCTCCTTTATGACATAGTGCTGGAGGTTTATTAGATCTGCCGTCTTGTCGCTGAAATCGTGAGCACACAGGCAGTCGAGTACGAGGCAGATCCGTTTCTTCATCTTGCGGACTTTGTGGGCCTCCGTGTCCTCCACGAGTTCATAGGCTCGGTCCTGGCGAGGAAACAGAAGAACAATCAGTGGCTCGTGTGTTGCGTCAGGGAGATAGAAGCCACAGCACGGACACTGGCCTTCACACTCTACTTGTTTTCTGCTCATTTTTGCATCGGGCTCAGCGTTTTCTGCCTCTTTTTTTGATTTTTGCAGATGCAGTCTGCAGCTCTGACAGCACACAGCCACTATAATAATCCAATCAATACTGCGGGCCTAGATGAGTCGGGCTGCACGGCTCACCGCGGCTATTCTGGGAACATCGGGGGGGTTAAATGGACAGGATGTGAAAGAGAGACAAAGAGGAACGCAGAGATAGAGAGCTGATGGAACAATAACAAAGTTAGAGGCAGATGGGATGGCAGGTGAGCGGGGGTATGAATGAATGAGGCCGTGAACAGAGAGTGACTCAGATAAATATAGCTTTTAATGGTCCTTCCGCTTCTCTATTGAGACACCCTTGATACGGAGAGCTGGCTGGACTAATGACAAGCTAACGGCTGCTAACAGAGCTAATGGTACTGAGCTGTTCCTTACACAAGTACAATGAATACGTCATCTAAGCTCAGTTACATAGAAATCTCCCCCACATGGTGGTGAGTATGACCCCAGACACGGTTCTTTAAAACCCGGGACATCTGACTGAAGATGTGTATAAAGGAACTTCTGGGCAGGTGTAAGCCTACCTGGAAGAGGCCATGGTGGTGTACCACCCCATCCTGGTTGTGCAGTAGAGAAAGGAGTGAGTATTCTGTGTGCAGCAGCATCTTCCCCTGCCTCTCCTCCTGAGTCTCCCCGGCAGAGTCCGCTCGCTCTTCCAGCGTGAGGATCTGATGACAGAGCAAGAGGATGAAACCACGACGCTACGTCTGAACAGAATCACAGATCAGAGCGGACAGAAGAACACGGGAGTGACCTCTGCATAAGCATGTGGGTTGGGCATTGAGCATCGACTGCAACTGGGATGCATTTTCCGTTTTTTCCCTGGAGTTATTCCAGTTTTTTAATTTGATATCCAGTCTGCCAAATAACAACGAAGAAGAATTTGCAAAAAGCGTTACGAGTTCTAAAGCGTGTGAAAGTTTTAGAAAGTTCTTTAGAAAGTTTAGAAACTTTTGAACTTTTAAAACTTTAGATAGTTCATGGAATTAAAATTCATGGGAAAGTTCAGAAATTCCACCTAGTGAGTCCTTCGGTTAGATGGCCAATTCAAAACGTGTACCGTTTTTGACCCTGCCTCTTGAATCAGAATTGAGAATCGCTCTGAACCAGAATCGAAACGAAGAATTGGAACCAAAATCGTTCAAATTCAAACAACGCCCAACCCTAAAACCAGCACAATGCGTTTCCGGCCATCCTAGACACAATCCCAATCCATGGCTACAGCTTACTGAGCACGCTCACGACCAAAGTCCACCTCCAAAAGTCTTCCAACACTGCTTGAAAACCTACGACTCCCATCTGCAATAAACCAACGATCGTACGCCCAAAGAGTCGCACGAACAGCTAGTGCCGAGAGTAGCATGAGCAGCATTAGCAACAGAGGAGGCCACACAAAGGAACTTCTTTTTGTAATTATGTTTGGAGTCGAATAAGAAAAAGTGGTAAGGGTGGAGCTTATTTCTCTTTTCATCATCGTCTTGGCCGTTTGTCGGCTTTTAGTAACGTTTGCTTTTCTGCAAGTGTGCTCATGACGTTAGCGTGTCCTGCTAGAGCGAGACATCGTGCAGTTTGGTTCGGTGTCATCTTGGACCGTGCACTGTGCCTCGTGGCGTGAAACAGTCATGTGCAACAGCTGAAAAGCACAGTGTGCCCCGGGCTTCACCACCCAAATGGTGATTTTGGAGAGGACGTCCAGGTGAACGGCTTTCCTTTCCTTCTTTATCCTCTCACCCTACTTTAGAGCCCCCCCGAGTTGTTAGAAAAGCATCATATGATGCTTCCAGGCTCACATTCTGCTGTGAAAGACGGGCAATAAAACGAACACCAAAGAAAGGTCAAAGGTTCGAGGATCTTCTGAGACATTACTGCTTTGACTCTGCATCGCCTGTTGAGGTTTAAGCGACTGTGTGAACAAAAGTGAAACAGCGATCGCAGCAAAGAACGCACAGACTCCGACAGACTTACTTTCAGCTGATAGAAGTCGTCTGTGCCGTCTTTTCTGGCCAAACACTGAACTATGCTCGGCACCGGTGAGTTGCCCAGGCGAGGTCCTGCAAGGGTAAGGAAAAGAACAGCTGTGTAAGCAAAAGAGCATGTGCTCTCACTGTAACTCATTAAGGGCTCCATGTGCGTGTGCCCATCAACACCCAACGTGTAACGTTGCCTTTGGCACCAAATGCTGCAAATAGCTTAGGCACAGAAAAACAAACAGGCAACGAGAAAGAATGGAGGAAGAAAAGTTGTTCCAACTCAGACTTGGGCCTTTCTGGCCAATGTCATGGGGATCAGCAAAATTCCTCAAATTCTTGTCCCAGGCGGGAGTAGGTAAGCCCTCCGCAGCTCACAGTTCTCCCGAGTTTTCTGCAAATAAATGCTGCCACTTCTTCTGAACACTTTGGGTAAAACGTGGTAATAAAATCCCATACCAAGGATGAAGGGGCCAGCTCTCTTGGCATTACTGCCATTTATCCCGGGACACTGCAGCTGGCTGGCCCTCGACGTCTCTCCAGCTCCCCTCTCTGACGAGCGCCGCTTGGACATCCTGGAGCTCTACGAGGAAACAAATCTGATTAGTTTGTGGGCTAAAGATAGTCAAGTAAGAGGGAAAACACACACCTGGTGGTAAAGACACATTCTAAAAGGAAGATCGTAACACTTTGTGTCATAAAGTCTAGAATCTAGACAGTAATTTAAGAAAAACGGCATTAATGAAGAATTAAGAGCGAACGTAGAGCTTCAGCAGAGGTCACGCAGGCTGGTCATGAGTAAAGAGAGTTCAGGGCAGCTCCTGCCCCCTCCACACACATTTACACACCTCAATGCTAAAGCAAACCCATTAAGGTTCCATTTAAAATAATGGCGGTTGGTGTCAAGGGCAACACCTCAGATTCAATCTCCATAAAAGCACAAAACGAGCCAAACAGAAGTCTTCATGGTTGGTCTCTTTAATCCTGCAGCGGTGGACTTGGGTTTAGAAAATCCCTGGATTTTTAATCTGCACAGCCGGCTTATCTATACAGACCTCACTTTAAAAGGGAGTGCATGTTTTACCAAGGCAGAAATGTAAAATATAAAAGAAAAGCCACCAGGTTTGTGGGCAGGGCGATAAGGAAGCAGGGTTGTGCATGCCAGTGAGTGTGACACATCGCTGTTAAGCTACTTTAACCGACCGAGCCGATCTCCTTTACCTTCCTGAAGCCAGCGAGTGAGAGGTGTGCATTCTTTTCAGCTGATACCGAACGTCTGTGTGATGAAACACCATCTGTTTCTCGTAATGAGGAAGTAGAGCCACACATCGAGAGGAATGAGCCACCCTGCAGTCATCCCAAGTTTTCACTGGATGGAAATATTTAAATGTCTGGGTGACAACCAATCAAGGTGTCTCCAAACCTCTAACATGTGCGAGTATCTGGTGATGCCATTTGTATAACGTTACAGGGGAGGCGGTACGACATATTGACCCTTTGCACGTGACATCAGGCTGCTCTTCATGGGACCACCCCCTTAAACATGGCGGACAGTAAAAAGACTGTTCACACATGTTGAAACTTCATTGAAGCTAGTCAAAACAAACCAGTTTGTGGCTTTTATTGCTTTCATTTAGTTGTTTTCACAGTAAAATGGTAATAGCTGCTGTGCAGTTGGCAGAACTAGCAGACAAAGTCGGCCCACAAGTGAACTGGGCTTGAACTAGATGAAGCCATACTAAACATTGTTTTGCTCACTGTTTACTGTGCCTTTGCCATCTGATATGGCAGACCCATGTGATCAGGTGACGTTGGAGAAAAAGGATACTGAAAGCCATGAGATATTTGAGGCTGGACTTAATCGGAATATCAGGCCAGATGCTTCCAAGATAGCCTGGCCTGCTAGACTCGTCCTCTGTTTAAATCTGCACAGAGAAGAGAGTCTGGTAACTCACAGGCAGAGAGGCGCATGAGGGGCGGGACTAGGCAGCTCAAAAGTAACCAATCAGAAAAAAAGACTGAAATCCCGACCATATCGCACGGCGCTGTAGTTTTCTAGCTGTAGTAAAAAAAAAACAGCGTCTAACAACGGTGCAAACATCTTTTATTTCTTTTTAGAAGAAAGGCTTTTAGCGCCTCTAATTGTGGTTTTAGAGACATTCAAGTCATTTAGAACAGAGGAAAGAGCTGCAGCGAACTCCGCTGCTGTCTTTATTGTTTATGAGGAACTGAGCGTCGCTGTGTGTGACGTCCGGGACCCTGTAGTTGTTTAGCTGTAGTTAAAATGGAGTCTGGGGACAGCGCAAACATCTTTCTTTAGAAGAAAGACTTTTAGCGCTTCTACTTGTTGTGTCCAAGTCATTGAGAACAGGGGAAAGAGCCGCAGCGAACTCCGCTTCAGTCGCCATGTTCGACAAACTCGGCGTTATGGTGTGTGTCGTATGCTACTCAGTGTTGATTGGCTCGGTTAGAATTCTCACGAGGTGGGGTTATTTGAACAGGAGAGTTGCCAGACCCTTTCTCTGTGCAGAATTAAACAGAGGAGGAGTCTGGCAGGCCAGGCTACTTCCAAGACACATCCAGAGTTATCGTGAGATCTCGTGGTTCCGTCACAATGAAAGCAGTCAGAACCGCTGCCACCTAGCAGTCGGAGTTTGAATTATACCAAACAAAAGAAACACAGTAAATAAGGGCATGTATATTCTCCGTTAGAAAACAAACACAGTGCTTTTAAATTTTGCTTTGGTATCATAACACAATATCGTTAACTCATTCACTGCCAGCCGTTTCCTGATCGCTAACGGCCTTCGCTGCCAGCGTTTCTCACCGTTTTACTGTTTTTTTAAGAGTCACAGAATGTTGCGTGCTAGCATGATGTCAACGCCAAAACAACCAAAACAAAGCGGAGACTCACCTCTTACATCAGGAAGAATCTGCGTGTTTTCAGCATTATCCGTTCTTTCATAATCCGTTGTGGAATTGTGATCGGCAGACGCTTTTCTGGTTCGCGCCTCACTTTTTTTACAGGAACGGCCCAAAACGATCCCCTAACACATGGATGTTCTGCTTCCTGATCACGTGACGTGTGACGTATGCGGATGAAGATCGGCTTCAGGGCTGAGATGTTTGTTCTCTCAGCGCGGGGGCTCGTTCAGATTTTCAAACAGTAAAAAAATGCAAATGATGACTTTAGTCGTCATTTGCAGTGAACGGTTGATCTAAAATGACGACTTTAGTCGTCAATGGCAGTGAATGAGTTAAATTTCAGGGTGTCTATAATTTCTCTTACATCCCTAAAAGGTTTCATACAAACCCTCTCAAAAAATGTAAACAAGAACAGCCATATATATAAAGACTTAGTGGTAAGTGGTAGGAATGTCCAGATGCAACTTTTTTCACTTCCCATATGGTACCGATATTGCAGCCTTCAGTACTGATCGATACCGATATCAATCCAATATGAGGTCAGCACAAATCATACATGCTTCTATTCCATGGTGTGGAATGTATAAAAGGCTTGATAAAGTGATTTTACTCAAACAGAAAACAAAAGCCAGCAACAGTAAGTATAAAAAAATGACCAATTTTACATTGGTTGCATAAATGTTAACAGCTGAGGTTAGGGGCATAAGAAAAAAAAAACAATATTGCTCACTGACCAACCTCTACAAGTTGAGTGTGTAAAGTTTAAATTTCACACACTGCAAAAATCCCCATGCAATGTTTTGTGGTCCTGCTTCAAACGCACGATGAGGTTGGACGTATTAATGTTCCCCGGTTCTGTTCCACTACAGGAAACTTGTGCATGACAAGTGTTGCACTGAGCTAAACTGTCTTTTCCTGATTTTAACAAAAATACCGCCACATGGCCGACATCGTTCCTTGCTACTTTGCTAGCACACACTGTTCTGATCACGTGGACTTTGCACGCTGGATCTGGGCGCTGCTGGATAGAATTGCTGGAATGGAATTTAAAGTGGAATGTACCGCTAACATCAGAGATTTTTGATGCAGTCCGATATAATCCGATAGTGTTTTTGGGCCGATATCCGATATCAATATCGGAACGGTGCATCCCTAGTAAGTGGCCTGTATTTGATACAACACTGTCTAGGGCCCTACAACCCCCCAAAGTGCTTTACAATACAAACACACATTCACATACTGGAAGTGATGTAGCCACAGCTGCTCTGGGGCTCACTGGCAGAGCACTGGCACTAAAGGTCCCTCCGACCACCACTTGCAGGCAAGGCGGGTTAAGTGTCTTGTCCAAGGACACGACTACTGCGACAGATGGGGCTCAAACCTGCAACCCCTCTGTTTATGGTTAACTCCTCTGCCATCATTGTCCCCAAAACAAAATATTTAATATAAAAAAACTAATAAAACATTTCAGCATATATATTTTTTTGTCCTGACAGTTATGTTTATAAAAGTGCAAATCCACAAATTCTGCAAATTTTGCAAGGGAGGTATTCCAAAATTATTTTTTAATCAATAAACAACCTCTCTGTGCAGATTGCCAGTTGCCTTTTTTATTTTTTTTTTGGGCACAGTTGGCAGTCAGTGAGGGCTAGTATGAATTCTCACTTCCACGAGGCTTTTATGTGATCCCAGACAGCAGACAGTGTCATCATCGTGTCTCTCGCCCATCTGTCTCCATCCATGCTAGTCATCACCCACCGAGTCTGATGAGTTGAGGCTTTATGACAGCATTAATGGTGCAAGCCAGAGTGACACACACACACACACACACACACACAGCCAATACGGCTTCTTACTCAGGTAACATGACCCGCGAAGCCTCTGGATGAGGGACTGCCTCTTTTATCCAGCAGATGAGACAAAAATATGTATAAATTAGCTCACTGCAGGGAAAACGACTCATCTGACTCATTCACATAAAATGATACACACATATACAGCAAACAAACCTGAGGCTATTCATCTAGCGAGTAAATAAAGCCAGCTGCAGAGTTGTGCAGCCAACCCCAGACGCATGTAAATGGCAAAGGTCGACGTAACCCACTACTGCACGCTGACCCAAATGACATCATTGTGATGACAGCATGCTGATAGACACCGCTGTGTCTCTCTGCACAGCCACTGGTTCTGGTAGGCAAAACTGCCTCTGAGTGTACCAGAGGGAGGACAAGAACAGATACAGCCTCTGAATCATATCACACAAAAGGAGGAGAGACACGCTGCTAATGCCCACGAGAAATGTGGGCGCCTTAAATAGTATCAGAACAAAACAACCACGTAGGTGTCTCAAGATCCACCAACCTAGACTGCTTGCCACTTGTCTGGCTCTGCAAGAAAAATATGCTTGATTGCAAAAACCAAGACAGCAGAAGCACAGATGAAAAACGGATGGTGCATGGTCATGATGATCCAAAACTGATGAATCTACAAGTCAAAACAATGTAGGAAGAACTGAAGCAACCACACACACACACACACACACACACACACACACACACACACACACACACACACACACACACACACACACACGTGTATCCTGATTGGACATCAAAGCAATCTCAATGCCCTTGACCACACGACCACCTTGCGGACACAAGGTCACGCTATAACCCCCCCCCCCCCCCCCCCCCCCCCCCCCGACAACTACCCACGCAGGCTGTCACACATTACAGGATGGTGACATTTTTCACAAGCAGCTCTGGACACTCTGTTCTGGAGTAAAAAAAAAAAAACGCTGACGTTAAGCCTTGGAATTCGGACACAACCAGCACATGAATGGCATTTCACCTATCGTGCACCAGCTAATGTGTTGTTTTTACACGCTATAGCGCGCTGCACCGGCGTTTAACACCAGACGCGCTGATGAAACACAAATTCGCTAAAAGCACACAAAAACGAGTTTGTGTTTACACTCGGCACGGCGGTGGAGACAACTCCGTTCGGCTAAATACTGAAACAACAGAGTAGCCACACAAAGGGACAACACACGGAGTGCAAACTGTACAAAGCAACTGTTAGCAACGTCTCTTTGAAATGTTCTCGACAGGTTAAAATACCACAAGGTACCGACTTGAGCTAACGCGAAGCTGGAAGGCAGCCGGAAGGCCATTTAAACAAAGTGGGGAACGTTACAGCTGGCTAGCGCTGTGTCAAGAGAAAAGCCTCGCTTACCTCGAGCCAAAACCGCCGGGTACGATCTCCGTCGTCGCCTCAGATTATAGACATTTCGTGCATGGACGCGGCGGTGGGCGTACGGAGCGATTAGCTTAATCAGGATAGACCACAGAGGTTTGCTTTTGGTTTGTTTAGCTTCTGTTACTGAAATGAGCAATTAAGGAAAAGCCTCCGCTGATCGCATCTTTCCACAGCGACAGCACCACCTGACAACGGAAATGACGCACAATCCCTTTCTTGATTGACAGCTGGGCTCGTCCAATAGGAGCCTCTCTTTCTTCGTCGGTCCAACAGCTCCGCCCGGATGATGATGAAATTCTTTGCATAATAAAAGTTGCTAAATGAAACCATGACATCATGGTAGCTTCGCTTGTAAAGTTTTAATGCCTTCAAATTGTTATTTTTTTATATGATGCAAGCTGCGTGATGGAGGTAGAGAAGAAATTAATATAAAAGGGCCCCAAATCCAGGGTTAAAATGTAAACAAGTCCGTAATAATGACAGCAAATACTAATGTTTGCAAATTAAAAGAAGTTAGTGGTAAATTAAATTCAATGAGGACATTTTAAAACAAGACACATAAACAAACATTTATAATACTTGAAAAGTAGTACATTATGAACTTTGTTACAGTGTCTGTGTCATTTATTTCATTTCCACACTCAGGGCTAATTATGTATGGAAGCCCATAACCGCCACCCTGATAAAAAAATATACATATTTGTATTTCATAATTATGACAGATATCTCATTATACTGCAACACCATCTCATTATCAGGAGACACTTTCTAATTATTATCAGATAGCTAAGTCATAATTATGAGATTTTTTTTCAATTAGATTGGCGGGAATGGGTTTCCATAATATAAGGAATCTGTGACAAAAAACTCACAAAAATATTATTAAAGTGATGAAAAATTTGGCAAGTTTAGCACATCTTCCTGTTTGAAGTGGCATGCAGTTTCCTGGCGCTAGGGGGCAGTACATACATTCCAGGGTAGTTTTACACCATATCGCCATGACTGTCGCTAGTTTAAACAAAACGCTACAGTAAATGCTGTATACCCGTAGAGCAGAAAGCATCCCTTGCAACCCTTGGCGGGACTCTTCAGACTTTGATTCAGTAAATTCCATCGAGAGAATGCAATGCCAATTGTAGTTTTCTGGCGCTGTAGTTTCTGGATCTGCTCGGGGTCCTGCACCCGCCTACTACTACTGGCCAAAATATATTGCATCTCTTTTTCGATGTTGTTCTTTCCCATAGGTTTTGGAAAGAGTTTAGCAGTTTTGTTATTAAACTCATGTTTCCTACAGCCTACATTTTTTCAAATGTGATAACGTAGTAAAGTCGTAAATCCAGCCAATCATCTAGCATGACGTAATTTTTGGGGGCAGGACCCTGAGCCAGCCAGAAGGAAACATGGCATCTAAGATGCTAGATCTGCACCCTATGCACTCTAGACCCAATTTTTATGGTTATGTTATTAAGCCGCCAATATTTTTCAACAACAGGACATCATTTTATTCCTTTTCAACAACATTCGGATGTAAATTTCCAGAAATTAACGCTAAAAACTACACACAGCCACTTTAAATACCGAAATAAGCCTAAAAATCCAGAAATTAATACTTGAACGTTGCAACGCACAAGTGATATTCTATTTGAGATATACAGCATTGCTCCTCATTTAGGAATCAGTAAAACTACATCTCCAAACCTAGCTCTTATTTATCCCTTCTATCCATATTTTCACAATACTACCTGTTTAAAGATTGCTTCATGCATGGTGAAATGACAATTAACTGTCGCGTTATGCCATTTCCTTTAACACAAAGGTCTTAGCAGAAAGAAAAGTCATGCTGTTTCACAACACTCTGCAGTCCTATTTGAGACTGCATGACATTTTGATTAGCCCACCTGAACTCCTAAAGTAGAATGACTGATTAATCTCAAATTCCGCCCACCGCTGCCAGTTTCCAATTAGTGGGTGGACGTGACAGACCCTGAGAGGCCAACCTAAATGGCAGACTTATTTAGAGTTTCACTCGTCTTCCTGTCTTGACTCAGCAGAGCGTAATCTCCCTCAGCCGCATGAAACACAAGTCAGGCTGCGGCTTTACAGTGTCCTGCCCGCACGCTTCAAAGAGGAAGCTGAATCATAACTAGAATTTGAGTTCTGTGAGAGAAATAGATTCAGAGGAAGACTGAATATTTTTCCCACGTGAAGAACTTTTTGACTGAAAAAGTTTTTTTTTTAACCCTGTGTGAGAATTATTTGTGCGGTTTGTGTCCTGAACAGTATCAAACTTACTCTTGTGCCTTTGAAAAGCTGAAATGTTTTCGAGTAAGTAATACTGAGTTGTATAAGTCCAGCAGGATGACAGGGCTTTGGTCTCTGTTTGCTGTGTCGGTAGGCTGTATCCTCAGGTCCTTGGTGCATCTTGTGTCTCTTTTTAGGAGATTATTGGGACAACCTCGCCAGAATCCTCCTCCCCCGGATCAATTCAGAGAATTGTCTCAGCATGTTTGCTGCTGTGGAATGCACTCGGTGTGAGTGACTGGGGGAGTGCAGATGCACTTTGACTCGTCTGCAGGCAAACACTAAAGGCTGTTAAGTGATTTAAGTTGCTATGGCGATCTTCATCGTAGGTTTGCTGTCTAAGCAAAGATAACCTGCTTTTAATGAGTTTATTTTGCTGGTAAACATTCAAATAAGAAGCACACAAATGCCCCTCTCTGTTTTTTTATTTGAATTTTTTGCCCTGCAATAATTTGGCAATGCAATAAACTCTAGGTTAGATAGTCAGCCTCAATTGTTGTAACTTAAATAAAATCATTATTAGAGCTAAAAGTTGAGACATGTTATGAAATGGCATGATCCTAAAAAAAATCAACAGCTCCCTCTTCTGTTAGAATGAAATTAATACAGCATAACATTAAGTTTCAGGGGAATACAGTTTATTTATAATTGGGAAAATGGTCTTTGAGCCTCTACAAAGCACAAGGAGCTCTGTTGAGGCTCACAATGACACAGGAGCCCTGATAAAAGTCAAACAAAAACCGATAAATTAGATCTTTAATGAAAAGACTGGTTTGCCCCACCCACTAGGTCAGGACATGAATATTAAAGATGCATGAAGTAAAAATTACATCCTGTTGTCACAGTTGGGTAATGTAGTCCATGTATTAAACATGCCCCTCCGGTTCAAGAGTTTCATGACGGTTGCCAGTTACAGATCAGCACCAGAAGACTCTAGATCAGGGGTGTCAAATATGCGGCCCGCGGGCCGGATCCAGCCCGCAATTAAATCCGGCCCGCGAGATGATTGTGTAAACTTTATTTTCATACTTTACAATGTAGAGTGATAATAAACGTATCTTTGTGAGCAAGTTTTCTCTGTAATGAGTATAAATAAAACAAAGCTGTGCTCAAGGCTCACACAAGAACTTGAATCACATCCTGAAGTTGTCCGCCACTCAAAATGTGACTCCTGATATTGATGTGCTGGTGAAAGCTAAAAGATGTAAAGTAAAATGAGTCAAATAAACTTTAAGTGCTGCACGAAACTGATCTAGCCATGTGATCTGTAAGCTCTTTGAATCACTAAGGGATTTTTATTTATTTATTTATTTATTTTTTCAAATTTTCAAGTACACTTCAGGTGTTGTACTTGTACTATTTTGGATACACTGTCCTCAGGCTCCAGCTTTGTTTTATATTGATTGTATTAAAACAAAGAAAACAATCTGAAGTTGTTTTTAATTTACCGGTCCGGCCCACTTGGGACTAGATTTCTTGCAACGTGGCCCCTGAGCTAAAATGAGTTTGACACCCCTGCTCTAGATGACAAGCAGACAAGAGTCACACACAGTAAGTTGACTTCACTGTGATATCGAGTTGTCGGCGATACAAAAAAGTAGCTTCAAATTCGCCGTTAGCATTGTTAGCTCAAAGTTAGCCTCTAGCCTTCTTTATCCAATAGAGTAAAGCAAAAAGATGCTGTGGCTTCTTAGCAGAAGAAGGAAATATCTTCTGGGACGCTCCTGTTACTGGTTAATATTAGGGATGTCCCGATACAACTTTTCCACTTCCGATACGATACCGATATTGCTGCCTTCAGTATTTACCTATACCAATATCAATCTGATACGATATCAGCAATAATCATACTTTTACCTATTATGTAAAGTGGAATGTATGAAAGGCTTGATGAGGTGATATTACTCAATCGGAGAAGAAAAGCCAATAACAATAAGTATGAAAACAAATGACTGTTTTCTTACCAGTTGGTTGCAAAAATGTGAACAGACTGCTTATATTGATTTTTGATGGCGTCCGATATAATCCGATTCACTGTTTTTGGGCTGATATCAAATTACTCCCAACATCAACATCGGAATGGGACATCTCTGGTTAATATACAATTCTGGTGTTTTTTTGCCAGCAAAACAAACTGTTTCTCGGCGGCCATTAATAATTTATATATACAGCAGTGTGAAAACAACACAGGCTTTTTGGTATGCAACAGTAGACATCCCACGCTGGCTTTGTTCAGTAAGATAAATGTGGATTTAAATTCTACTGATCCTTTAATAGAAATGAGTATTTATGTGTTTGTACACAAACCCAAACTATTTACTCAACATCTATTTATTCAAAATACTCAATTGCACATTATAATACAAGCTGAATTAGCAACATTTCCCTATACATAGGAAAATACAAAAAATACATTTTACAATAAAATAGTGATAAATAACCCACACTTGTACAGCACCTTTCAAAGCCAGAGGAGTCCAAAGCGCTTTACACTTAAGTGCATCAATCATCCATTCACACACATATTCACACAGTGGTGGTAAGCTACAATGTAGCCACAGCTGTCCTGGGGCGCACTGACAGAGGACAGGCTTTCAAGCACAGGCACCACAGGTCCCTCTGACCACCATCAGCAGGCAAGGTGGGTTAAGTGTCTTGCCAGGATTGAACCTACAACCTTCTGATTACTGGACAACCCGCTCTACCTCCTGAGCCACTGCTGCCCCTAATATTCACAAATTCTTGTATTGTCATACTTTGTTATAACAACAGGGTCACAGTGAAGCCCACTGATGCACATTCTCCACCATTATCTCCATCACAGGGTAGTGGTGTTGGGTTATGTTTAATTAGTTTCTTTTAAACTTAGTCAACTCATTTGCGTAAAGTGTAGGGAGACGTTTAGAGAATCAAATCCTCTAAATCCAAGACCATGGTCTTGAGTCAGAAAAGGATGGAATGCTTTCTCCGGGTCAGGGACAAGGTCCTGCCTCAAGTGGAGAAGTTTAAGTATCTCGGAGTCTTGTTCACGCAAATTCATCCAGCCAGCCGCTAAAAGGTGCGTTTTGGTCTGTAAACGAGAACGCCCCCTCCAAAACGGGAAGCCCCTTCTTCTTATTCGGTCCTGAGATGTTACTTCACCTCCGATATTTCAAAATAAGATATTTTCTCCGCTCATCTATCTGTTCTGTCTTTTTTAATACAGTTATTGATCAGCTGTGCTCACCCTGCCCTTTCATTTCGTGCTACTGGTTTGACATGAGCACGCTCCATGCTCTCCAAACCCGAACCTGTGTTTAAGTCCCGCCTCCTGCTTTATCCACGTTAACGTTGTTTTTCCTGAAGTTAAGGCGTGGGTTGCGACCAACAGTGACCCGGAATAAAGATCCGAAACAGAAAGAACAAGTTGGAGTCATGGCAATATCTTTAAAAAAAATGTATAGGTGTGGTGGCTTTTATTTAGCCGTGGCGGTGCGACGCGATCAATCAGTGTAGACTTTTATTTCGATGAACGTAGCAGGGAAAATAACGTATTTTGATGTCCATTCTGATTGGTTAGTGAAAAGCTACAACCCCCATTAAGGCGTTTCCGTAGCCCAAGCAGAAACGCCGCGCGGCTGGCTGGACCCTGCTCTGTTCACGAGCGAGGGAAAGAGGGAGCACACGGTTGATAGGTGCATTGGTGCTGTGTCTGCAGTGATAAGTGTGTTGTACCGGTCTGTTCTGTGCTGGAAGGCGAAGCTCTTGAATTACTGGTTGAACTACATTCCTACGCTCATTTATGGTCACAAGCTTTAGGGTAGTGACCGAAAGAACGAGATTGTAGATACAAGCGGCCGAAACCAGTTTTCCCTGCAGGGTGGCTGGGCTCTCCATTAGAGATAGGGTGAGAAGCTCAGTCATCTGGGAGGGGCTTGGAGTAGATCCGCTGCTCCTTCACACTGAGAAAAGCCAGTTGAGGTGGCTTGGGGATATAGTTAGGATGCCACCTGGACACCTCCCTGATGAGGTTTTCCGGGACACGCTGAAGGGACAATGTTTCTCAACTGGCCAGGGAACACCTTAGCGGCTGTATGTCAGCAGCTAATGGGGATCTTAATAAACAAACAAACAAACAAACAAACCTTGGGATTCTCCTGGAAGAGCAGGCCCAAGTGGCTGAGGAGAGAGAAGTCTGGGCCTCCCTGCTTAGGCTACTGCCCCTGCGACCCCAACCCAGACAAGTGGACGGTAATGAACGGATGGGCGGAGACATTTATTAACAGATTAAAATTAAAGAGAGTTCAAACCAGCAGAAGTGTTTCCTTGATTTGTGTGTTTTCATTGATTCTCCCACCCTATAATTTTACATCACATGATCATTAGGATACATAAAGGGTTAACAACCTCACCAAGAATAAACTCTGAGTAAATCATGGGATTATTTTGCTTTAAACCCTTGAAACTCTGTGGTGGTTTTACATTTGTGACCAACGTCTAAAATAAAATGATTCCGTTTAGTGTAGTTCACTAAGATGACGTTAAAAATGTTAATTTAAGAAACACAAGCTACCTGTAACATCCTTTTAGAATACAGTTTAACTTAATCTCAGCTCAAAACAAATTTTATTGAATGGAGAAAAGCAGCACCTGTGGCAGTAGCCGCTCTCATAAACATCCTAAAACCAGCCCAAAACTGAAGGCTGTTGCAGGAATGGACCACAGACTGATTCTCAGGAGAGAGTTAATGACTTTTGTGTCCAAGCTCATGGGCACCTCTGTCACAGACCGTCCATCATGGCCAAAAGGTCGTCTCCTTTGCTGCCAGAGCTGGGAGATTGAGGTCCAGACTCGGTGAATTCTCCCATGATCTTGGCCAGTTCTGCATTGGTCTGCCGGTCCTGAAAGATAATGTTGGAGTAGTAAGACTTGCATTCTATGACACCAAACCCTTTTAAACCAGTGAAGCCTCAGATTCCACATCAATCGCTGCAGTCCAGTCACATGAGTAATTGGGACTGTGCTGCAAGGCTTTCGAAAAAGTAGCTAAATTTAGGCGCTTACAGGAAAAAAGAAAAGCCTGATGCTAAAACATGTTTGAGTTTGTTGCTAATTACTGTTAGTGTGCACTTTCCATCTGATGAGAAACTGTTGCTAGTTTGGAATAAAACCTGTTTTGAAATTCAGGTAATAAGTCAAACGCCAGATGGGTTCTTTTCAACAGAAAGAGTTTGTTAGTACCTTTGTTGCTTGGATGTTTATGACTCCATATGAAAGCTCATCCGGTCTCGACAAAAATGCTTCTCTGTCATTAAGAGAAGATAAATGTAATAATTCACCTTGAATAAGATACATTTCCTTTGACGAAAAATAGGACACTTACTCTTCTTCTTCATCCGTGGCAAAGAGATTGACCCTAAAGCCACTTTCTGTGTTTCCTGGTTTCTCCACGTCTAGGCCTCCCATCAACCTGGCCAACAGATTCAGTTCCTCTTTGGCCAGAGGGTTTGGGGCAGCATTGACCTGTTGATACACAATAAAGCTTGGTTTATGCTTGACGCATCCACTTTCCGCTTGGTGATGCGGTTCGCGGATGGAACGAGCTTCACAACTTGCAGCGTTTATGGTTCATGCGGCTTATCTCTGCGGTGAGCCAATATTCTCCCAAACTGTAGGGGGCAGCATGGAGCTCTACGGCATGCATCCAACACTACACCATAGTAGAAGTAAAAATTACTGTTGTTTACAACATGGCATTCCAGCATTTTTTTAATAGTGTCCTCGTCTTTTCCGACAGTGCGAGCTATTTCTCTCCAAGAATTATTAACATGTTGAACAAGGTGATTTCTGCGAGCTGAATCATACAAATGTCTGTATTTACGAACCTCTGCCATACTAGTTCTTGCCAGTCCGCCATGTTTTTCCACGTCCGCGTGGTTAGAAAATTTCCTAGGTGCGCGGTGCGGAAAGTTTGGGCCGTGCGGAGGCGCGGTGGAGGGGCGTGGTTGTTAAAATGACGCAATTTCGCCGCGCGGAGCCATGCGGACACATCAAGCATAAACCAACCTTAAGTTTGTTCACTTCTGTACGTTTGCAGTTGAACCTGTTAAGTTAAAGTTAAAGTCCCATTAGTTGTCACACACACAGGTGTGTGTGCGAAATTTGTTCTCCGCATTTGACCCATCCCCTAGGGGAGCGGTGAGCTGAACACACAGCCGCGCTCAGGAACCATTTGGTGGTTTAACCCCCCAATCCAACCCCTTAATGCTGAGTGTCAAGCAAGGAGGCATTGGGTCCCATTTTTTCAAAGTCTTTGGTATGACCCAACCAGGAATCGAACCCTGATCTCCCAGTCTCAGGGCGGACACTCTACCACTAGGCCACTGAGCTGGTATATAATGTTGTTTCTCAGCTCCTGTTTCTGACTATAACAAAGGAAGTATAACGTAGTACCACCGACTTTCAGACACACGTGTGATCTGAACACTGCATAGAGGCTAACCTGTCAGAGCTACACTTGTTAATGTGGTTATACTAATAAAAAACCTTCACAACATACCTTTGTGTGCTGAGCAGAGTTTTTAGATGTGCCAGAGATGTGTGTTTCAACGGGGCGGCTTATACTGTACCTGAATGGAAGGATTAAAAAAAAGAACATTAGCAAATATAAGCATGAAAATAAAAATCTAACTCATAATGACTTCTTTACACGATGACTAATAAACATCGGAATAATCAAAAGTATATTATTTTCAGGGAATTTATCACGGGATGTCTCAAGAATCCTGGATAAGGAGCGAGGTCTAACCTCTCAGGCCCAGATGATTGGTATGTATTATCATTCCAAACAGAACAAAGACAGGAAATTGAATTCACATGAAGAAGTTTCAATATTCTTACATGTTGGTGCCTAGTTTTGTAACCCTGTCTCCAAAAATGTCAAAGGATCCTTCTCGGAGCGCCAAAGTGTAGTCCCCTCCGTTTATGAACTGCAGCCTGTTCAGCTCTTCACCAGTACAGCTAAAAGTCCTAAAATTATCGACCCAGACATAAAAACAGTTAAGGTGAGAAAACACTTCAGACAAGAGCTAGATAGCTCTTTAAGTGGCTTCAGTTTGGACAAACATTGTTTTTGATCAAACAGATGAGCTAATAGTTGGCCAACAACACTGATCACATAAATATTGTATCAGTTTGTGTAAATGCTATATTATAGCCTTTACTTCACCATAAATCCTGAATTTTATGGTAATTTAGGCAAAATATGATGTAATTTAGTTCAGAAATGCTAAAGTTGCTTAGCCTGGAATCTAGAACGCCATTTGTCAAAGCAAAAATTACAGTCTAGCAACGCTCAATGGGAACCTCGCAGCCCTGGCCAGTATTGTGGCTGGCCAATCACAGCACGTTTCTGTAGAAAACTACGTGTTATTTTATGTGTTTTTTAATGTTTTATGTTGTTCTTCCAGTGTTGTAATGGCCAGTGTTGGGAACGTTGCTTTAAAAATGTAATTAGTTATAGTTACTGATTACTTTGTCAAAAAAGTAACTCAGTTACTAACTGAGTTACAAGATCATAAAAGTAACTAATTACCAACAAAAATAACTACTTAGTTACTTTTTTCATTAAAGAATGCAAGAATTACTACAATAGTAAAATATAAATGACTAATGACTGGAACATAATAAAATGTATGTCCAAATGTTTTTTATAAACCTGAATAATTTAAATAAATAAGCACTTAACAGGAGGAACTACTAACAGGAACATTACACTAATCTAGACTATTAAAAGGTCACTGTGTGATATTTAACAAGACCCCAATCAGCTAAAATTTAAAATTGCAAATAGAAACACCAGTAAAGGTTCCTGAGCCTTTAAATGGTCTCTCGGTCTAGTTAAATTACAGAAATAAATGTTATTTTGCACAGTATTCTAATTTTTCCAGCTTCACATAAATGTGTGTTTTTAGCAGCATTTCTGTTGCTGCTAATCTAGTAACGGTTAAATAAATAAATAAATATCCTTTAAAATGACACTAGAAGAGGCACAAGCCTGATGGAGGACTTACATTTACTAACTTGGGTCAGACCCAACCACAGAAGAGCTGAAGCTGGGTGGTAAACACACACAGGTAGTTCTGATAACACCTGAGCTCCACGACGTCTGAGACTGATGCATCAGTGTTACAGCGGGACTAAAGACATGATCAGAAACAGGTTACAGCTGGATGATCTAGGAAGGTAGAAGATCAGGATGTCTGAGCGGTGAAGAGGTGAGCGGACCTTCAGGACGCCCCGCTGTCACGCCAAGAAGGGCACGGCTGCAGACCCGCAGATTCCCACCTGCAGCAGCGAATCTGCGGGGGGTCTGCAGCCGTAGATATCCATCACGTCTTCCTCGTTCTTCACGGGCCGTGATGCTCTTGGATGAAAACATCTACCTCTTTAGCTCCTGATCAGCTGATGACAGCTTCAACACACCGCGCTGCTTAACGCACGCATTTCCTTATCAGTAACAGAAACGACGTTTTGATAAAAGAAGACGTAATTAATTAGTTTGCTCGTTACTGAAATTTTTTTTTTATTAACGCGGTTATTTTAAACGGCGTTATTCCCGTCAATGCTCTGTTGTGTCTACAGCATGCAGCGACTGAGACCGTGAGGGTCTCCGCCCACCCGGCCAATCATCATCGTGTTTGTAAGTGCGTTACCGACACCTCTCTCTCCCTGGCTGCAGCTGAAGTGTGGCGGTCAGAAAGCCTGACACTGTTGCTCAACGTTCGACAAGCACATAGTAACTCACAACCTTCCGTCCCCAGTAACGGTAACGGCGTTGCAATGGCGGGAAAAGTAATTCATTAGATTATTCCGTTACCTATAAAAGAACGCCGTTAGAAACGCCGTTATACTTAAACGGCGTTACTCCCAACACTGGTAATGGCAGACTGCCCTGTTGACTGACATCCATAGCAGTCCAATCACAGTGCTCTATTGGTTTGGTGGGCCAATCACAGCACTCTGTTGGTAGGCGGGATGTTACTGCGGGATGTTACTGATGGCACGGATCTTTTGAAACGGTTTTGGCATCAACTTTGGACTGTTTTGACTTGGGCTTTTCTTTTACTCAAGAGCAGACAGAGTACTTCAGTTTATTAAGAAAAGATATGTATTTGCATCTTCTTCAACGAAGTATGGCAGACTGCCCTGTTGACTGACATCCGTCGCGGTGAGTACATCACGTTGTTTGTTATCCAACACCATGCGGAGACAGTTTGAAAGACAACTGTATATCCCGCCCCATGACTGAGAGCCGTCAATGGACCATGGCCAGACTATATACTCACATATATAGGAAGGCTGCCAGGCTATAATTTGCTAGCTTTACAGTTAATTTCCACTGCAACTCCCAACTGTGTAAACAACTACGTAATATGAACCTTGTGGTGAAAACATTTATAAAACAATGTTTGCATCAACCACTACAAAATCTGACACTAAGACTGTTTAGAGGCAGCAAAAATATATATATATAAATAAATTTAAAAAAATCTGTATTTCTCCAAACTGAGGCTGTTCAAAGAGCTATCTGTTTCATAAAAACCTCTCCACAAAAATCTCACTTCAGAAGATGTTAACTATCCCTTGACAGGGTATCTGCAGGTTTAGGGGAGCCAAATTTAAGACATTTTAAGACCCTTTTTAAGGCCACTTTGACCAAATTTAAGCTATTTTTTAAAATAAAATTTAAGCTATAATTTCCAGCTATTGCCTGGAACCGGTGCTAACCACGTCACGAACGTGGGATTAACCATGCAGTTACCATTAAACTTGCACTTCCCCATGGCACGAGCTCCCACTAGCTTAACCAGCTAATGTGCTCATCTAAAAATAGCCCCTTTTCACAACCTGAACGAATGTGTATGGTTCCGCTTACGCCAATATCATACACAAAAAATGCATGAATACTAACTAGAAATTCACGAAAAATTTATAGAAATTAAAGAATATTGGTAATTTAAGACCTTTGGAAACTGTATTTAAGGATTATTTGTAATTTTTAAGGATTTTTAAGGCCTTAACTTTGGAAAAGCAAATTTAAGACTTTTTAAGGACCCGCAGATACCCTGCTTTAATGGGTTTAAGAGCCAGGCCTTTTAATTTTTCTTAAACCAGATAAACATTTAGCTCTAGATTTAATATGAGCTAATATATCCTTTGTGCTTTGATAAAAATATAGTTTTTTTAATGTAACCCAAAATAACATGCCACCTATCTAAAATTAGAGGTTTAATGCTGGTTTAGCAAAACCCCTGTGATGCAATTAGCGGAGAAAAGGCCGGCTTAACATCCGATTTCATTGTTTGGGTAGAATCGCTAACGGCCTATGTGGAAAAAACCAAGATCTGTGTGGCACCTTATCAAACCTGGAACTTGTGTTCCATGAGGCACGGGACCACTGGTGAGGAGCACAAAACGGCCGTTTGAGTTCTGAACTTTATCTTTTAGGAAAATAGACACCTGAAAGAGAACACAGAAGCAAGAAAAATTGCCTCAATAATAAAAATAAATATGAAACGTCTCTCTTCTGTGACAAAAAATGAACTTACCCTTATATGCATGTCTTGAAAGAAGATAAGAAGAGTTTGTCTAATCAGTTGGAATTCACCGTTACATAAGGGCGTATACATCTGAGGAAGAAAAAAAAAAGCAAGAGGAGATTAAAAATGAACACTTTTACTGTTACTTCTGTATTATCTGCAGTGTTTTAGTTTGTGATAAGAGAAGTAGGGGGATGTGAAGGATTTGTTTCCCCTCAGATAAAACATTTCCCACAATAATTCAAAGGAACATGCTGTAACTACACTAGCATATGCTAACAAGAATGCATTTTGCACCCAGTTATGGATTTTATCACTTGCAGTTTTTTTATGGAGACATTATTACATTTTTTTAAGTTTTAATAGTTCTGTGGTCAACGTGAATATTTTTATGAAGTTCTTTTAACTAAATTCCTCTCACATAGTGATTTCAGCAGCTTTACTCTTGAGATTTTTAGCTCCTTCCAGAATGAGTCATTTCAGGGCTCTGTCACTTGTAGAAAATTTTGATTTGGCCACGCCCACTCATCTGACAAGCTCTGAAAATCATAGTGGTGAGGAGTGTTTCTATTGTAATTTCCCTGTTTGTGACATCACAAATGGGGACTTGTTGAAACGGGTTGTTTTAGGCTCATAATTTCTTAAACAAAACACCAACAGAAAACGGATAAACCTTTTTTTCACATTTGGGTGTTTATTGAGACAGTAAAGACTCACACGGAAGCACAAAAGGATGCAAAAGGTGAGTTTTGCATCATTTGTCTCCTTTAATTTATTATTTTAATATAATTGAGATGATACATAATAATTACAAATTATTACTAACATCTTGCTGCTGGTGAAGTCGCAAATAAATGATGCCTGGTTTCATGATGTTCATCAGTCTTATGAAAGCATGCTTATTTGTATTTTTATGTACTAACTGTGTCGGATTACTGAATTAATAACTAAAAATGATCATGGATTACCTTGTTACTTGTTCAAGGAGCAATCCGGATTATATGCTATCAAAACCATGCCAGTGTGACATTATAATTGAATTAAAATGCCAACATCACTGTTTAAAGGGACTTTACGGACTTTTGAATTTTTATGCTCGCGGTTGCCCCCTCAGGCCAAAAGCGTAACGGCAGCTTCAATAGTAGGCTCGTGCACGAGGCGCGCATGCTGTACGTGCACACTCCTTAACGAAAATAACAGCTGAGACAGTCCTGTGTGTGTGTGTGGCCCGGAGGACAGGAGAACGCGCAGCTAATTAATTAAATAATTTGGTTCTGTACCTTTCTCTTCAGCACAGCCGACAAAGGTTTATGATGGGTCAGTCCTCCTGCATGCTCAGATCATTCCCTTCCCTTGCTTGAAAAACTGTTCCAAAATGAAAGTTGAACTCACATCTTTTTTATCTGTGAATTCAATGCCGTTCGGCGAGTCTCAAATAAAAATTTGAGCATCTTACTGTAAAAAAAAAATACCATTAATGTAAAAAAGAAACTCTAAATAAACTATATTCACACCCAGAATCGGACCCAGGTCTTCTGCATGAGAGTCAGACATCTTACAAGGTGAGGTACACTCTAGTAACGTTCATAGCATCTGTAACTTTTATATCCTTGATGACAGCTGAAACAACGTGAAACCAAAGAACGGTTCAAAGCGAAAATGGCTATTTTGTTGCTAATTTGCAGGAAATATCTAGAAGAAAGTTCTACAGAAAGTAGCTAAGGGTCCTCAGAAATGTAGCTAGGTTCATCACTAGGCGTTAGGAACAGCGACAAAGTGGCACTGCCTCACTCTCTGCTGCTAAAGCTACTGATAGCAAACGCTACGGGCTATGCCTGAGCGTGAACGCGCATGAAGCAGCCTGCTCGACCCGAGCAGCTCTCTTTTTCTGTGATTTTACAGAAAAACAGGCAATCACAATAAAAATGCCAGGAATCATTCTACAGGACCAGGGCATTGCAGGAGAATGTATGAAGAAGAAATTTATTATTTCTATATATGTTTTGGCTGTCAAACTACCATAATGCCCCTTTAAAAATGAAGTAACAAAAATGTTCTTCTAATTTCATGATTTTATGGCTTTTTAAAAAAATGAAAAACAAAAATAAATTTTTTTTAGTGGCACAGTGCAGAAAAAAAGCCATCTGAAATACAGCAGTGGCAAACATCCTTTACCTCTATGAGTTGTTGGTAAGTTTCATCAACTTGGCTGAGAATGCTGGGTGTGTCTTTCACAAAGTCTTTGATTGCATCCATGTGGTTAAAGGAGACAAGAACGATGTCCTTTGGGCGGGAACACAAAAGCACTTGGTATTTAAACGCCATGGTCATCAAGTCATAGAGCTGTCAAGAAAAGACACAATCGCAAATGAAGCATTCAGTTACCGTCAAATCAGCAGCAGAGGGCGCCACATAGAGTCTAACAACGTAGCTGTCATGTAGTTAGTTGGAAGGAAAACATAAATGCCAGTGTATGTGATCAAAACTATTGAAACATTTGAGTATTTGTGCTCATCCATGAAGGAATGTGACTGAGGTGTGTGAAGCCAAAGCCTTACCTTGTCCATACTGGCCTGATTGAGTCTCATTATGGACGCGTGGGCCAGCCTATCAAACACAGTCCGCAGAGCCTTCTTGGAGTAAAGCTCCTGTGGCTTGAAAAGCTCCTCCAGGAACTTTTTGTTGAACATGGTGGTGATGATGTCATTCATGACTAGTCAGAGCAAAGCAGCACAACACACAGTCCACATAGAATGGACCTAAGTTAGATGAATGTACTTTGCTTTGGACAGTGCAAGTTCAGAAGACATTCTACACTAAAAAGGCTTGCCATAATAATTTCATCCAGAACTTAAGAGGAGGATTTTTAACAGAGCAGCGAGGTGAGTTATTAGAAGCTTCCTACTTGGTAGTAGATCTAGATTAGGAAGATTTTGTTTTGCATTTTGCATTGTGACTTTATCAAATGAAATCAAATGTCTTATAGTTTTACAGTTGAAAGCAGCGATGCACCGATATGAATTTTTGGGCCGATACCGATATTCGATACTAATGTCACTGATAACTGATATTTGCCAATACCCATATACTGACATTAATGCTTCTAAAATCATCAGATTTTGTATAGAATGAAGGCAGAATTTACGTTGTTATTATGTACACACACTACACACATTTATGCTTCTGAGATGATTACAATCACTGACTGTCACGTGACTAAACAAATACACACACCCTCACCCCTGAAACTGATAAACAAATGGAAACAAGATAGAAAACCAGGGTATCTGCAGGTTTAAGGGAGCCAAATTTAAGACATTTTAAGACCTTTTTTAAGGCCACTTTGACCAAATTGAAGCTATTTTTTTAAACTAAATTTAAGCTACAATTTCCAGCTATTGCCTGGAACTGGTGATAACCACGTCGTGAACGTGGGATTAGCCATTCAGTTACCATTAATGTTGCGCTTCCCCATGGCGCAAACTCCCACTAGCGTGCTCATTTAAAAATAGCCCCCTTTCACAACCAACCGAATGTGTACAGTTCCGCTTACGCCAATATCATACACAAAAAATGCTGAACTAACTTGAAATTCATGACAATTTTATAGAAATAAAAGAATCTTGTTTATTGGGTCTTTGATAATTTAAGACCTTTGGAAACTATTTAAAGATTATTTGTCATCTTTAAGAATTTTTAAGGCCTTAAATTTGAAGAAGCAAATTTAAGACTTTTTAAGACTTGTTTAGGACCTGCAGATACCCTGGAAAACATATCGGTTGTTAATATCGGCCTAGTTTTATTTATCGTTTCGATACGTTAAAAAATGACTAACACACTTCACCAAGAATGCATCGGATCAAGGGTGCAAAAGGGGTGTGATCAACTTCCGCACTTGAGAATAACGGGCACCCTACGCCAGAACTATTCAATTCCGGGCCTCAAGGGCCGATGTCCAGTTTGTTTTGGTTTTAACCCTGCTTCAACACACCTGATTTCAATGAGTAGGTAATTAACAGGCTTCTGCAGAGCCTGATGAGCTGCTGCACACGTGATTCAACCACTGAATCAAGTGTGTTGGATCAGAGAAACCAGTAAAATGTGCTGGATGGGCCCTCGAGGCCCGGAATTTGATAGCCCTGCCCTACGCACTTGCAACCCTGGTCGGGATCGCGCAATTGAAGGGCATAAGGGTGGAAGTGCGAGTATTGGGTTTAGGCCGTTAAAAATGGTTTGTGAGGGCTGACAATCCCCCCCCCCAAAAAAAACAAACAAACAAACAAAAACCAAATACCCACCATGCATAAACAAGTGCCCCACATACACCACCCCATTAAAAGTCCTGGACACGCCACTGGGTTCAACATATGCAGAAAGCCAAAAGAGCATGTTTAAGTTAAGACAAAATGAAATGTGCCTATTACGGAGTTTATGACATAATTTGCAATTAAATCATAGATGGGGTTTTTCTGCATACTGTGTAAATACAATGAGGCGTCTAGGAGTGCAACATACGTTAGCTATTGCAACTGTTATTGAGATCGGTGCAGTAACAACTACAGAGCACTTTTTTGAGCTAGACTATTAATTTAAAAAGTGTTGTTTAAACGGTGCACGGATTTCAGCTAAGCCAAAGCAGAGCAAAGAGCTACTATGCACAACTGTGTACTTTAGACTAAAATCTTGTACTAATAATACCTCTCTTTCTGTCCTCCTCTATCCAGGTTGCTATGTTTATAAATTAAAAGAAGATACATAAGTCAACTTGTGCTGAAAAATCATAGGCTAGTAAGTAATTTAGACAATTGCAAATATTGAGGTTAATCAATACACCCTTTGATGTAGGTTTGGAAAAAGCTGATTCCCAGAGCACAATAAAATTTGCTAAAAGTGATCAAACTGGAGAGAACAACAATGACTTGTTTACGTTAACATTCACTTGACAGAAACCAGAAAACTTGTTTCACAGTCATTGGTTTTGTGTCATCTGGATTACTGTCCAGTTGTCTGGTCCAGTGCTGCTAAAAAGGACTTGGATAAACTACAGAGAGCTCAGAATAGAGCTGCAAGGCTAGCTCTCGGTTGTCCTTATAGAGCCAATATCAACTGGATGCATCACAGGTTGTCCTGGATGAAGGTAAAAGACAGATTAGCCTGTAGCCTGATTTTCTCTGCAGAAAACTTGGATATCACATAAACTTTTTAGTTTGTTCACAAAGTTGCTACCGACATGTAAGAGACATGGTTTTAACACAAGGAAAGCCTCCCAAGAAACCTTTACCCTTCCATTGCCAAAAACTAATGCCCTCAAGAGAACAGTCATTCACAGAGCTGTTTCATATTGGAATATCCTGCCTCCAGGAGTGGCATTAAGAAATAATCATGGCAGATTAAAAAAAATCGTAAGACTTTGGTCACACATAACAATTTAAAACTAAATGACTGATGTGGGGTTTTAATTAGGTTTCTATAGTTATTAACCGGCCTGTGTGTGTGTGTGTGTGTGGGGGGGGGGGGGGGGGGGGGGTTGGTATATTAATGGATATGTTTGTTTAAATGTTTTGTATGTTCTTTTTCCTACACTGCATATGTACTATTGTAAATGTTTTTTTAATGATGCGGACCATAGGAAGAATAGTCTTCACTATGGTGAAGACTAATGGGGATCCTTAAATAAACAAATAAACAAACATAACGGATTTTTTTAAATCATCCAAACTTCTCACTGCAAAACCTAGTGAATTAAACTGCCTCCAGTAGCAATGACCTTCTCAGGGTGTAGCATTTTACGTTTTGCTGCAGTAGAATGACGATCGGGCTGTTAGCACATTAGCTGCTAAGCTAACTACCTTTTTTAGCTTTGTCGGCGGGTATATTCTGAGCACGAAGCCGTTGGTCCAGGATGTAAAGCATTTCGCCGCCAAGATTAATAAAAAGCAGCGGCAGAGTCCTCGTAGACATGATGGCAGTTGGAGTGTTGAATCTTCTCAGGTAACAATCGATGGCTGGTGGATGGAGTCAGGGGTTGATGTTTGGTAAAGCCTCTTTCTGGTTGCCAGGCCACGAAGAAAGCAGCCAATCACAGTGGAGTGACGTAAAGACGCTAACGTAGTGGCTAAAACGTTAAATTTAATGTATTTTCCCCTGATTTTTCCTCAAATAGTGCATACTTTTCTTTATAGACTGCAACAAATAATAATATAATCTTTAATTAATTATTTTTTAATTCCCGTAAAATATTATTCTCCTTGGTGTAACATTTTTCATAGCTATTTCAGATTAGTAAAACCTCATTGACACACCAACAAGTTAAAATGATAGATTATTTTTGAATATTTAGTAGTACAAATTTCAGACAAAATAAACAACAAAACAAAAATATGTGTTAAGTTGTTGCTCTTCTGGGAAGGAATATGACAGGTATGGAATGACCAAAGTTTTTTGGAAAACATCAGAAACATAGGATTTTTGCCAACAAATGCTGGAACTGACTGCAAAGAGAATTCTGAGGGAGCAGTGGGTACATTAGATTAATTTGGGATGAACTGAGAATGCATGAATGTCACAAGTCTGGTTGAAGCCAAATAAAGAACAACAAATTCCACCTGGTCCTGCCCTGGTCCAACAGTTCTTGCAGGATTAGAGTCAGGACAGGTGAATGACCAGATCTGATGTTCAGTGCATTCTGAACTCTCTCCATTAGTCACTTATTATTAAAACTGTGTTGTGGCAATGTTGTCAGTCTCCTTGCCTATAATTAAAGGTGCATCATGTAAGAATGAAGTAAGAGCGACATTCTGTGGTCAAATGTGGTTTCTGCAGCCCATTTTCAAAACACACCAGTCACTTTTTTACATTTCTGTGAGTTGTTCCAGCTATGGATCAGCGCCAGAAGATTCTAGATGATGAGCAAAGACAGGTCATTCACAGCAAATTGATAAATAGATTTCAATGTAATTTGAGAATTTTTTGGGAGGCAACTATTTGTTTCTAATTCATTGTTAGTTTTATGTTAGTCTCCAGCCTGCTTCATCACTGGCTTTGGCTCATTACAAAACACTGCTGAGTTTTGCCGGTCTCTGTGGCAGTACAAATGCTAACGCAGCTGTGCACATTTGGCAACCCTGATTTGTTTACAGATTGTAAACAAAGTTTATATCCCTCTTTGGCCTTTTTAAAAAGTGAAACATCAACAACCTCCCAGCTGGCTGAGAAGGAAATCTGTGTGCATCTTCTCTCCAACATGACTGATACATTAGACAGTTTTGTGATTATTTCACAGTAAAATTTTGTACCTTTGAGAAGGGCCAAACAATGTATCACCATCGGTTATTTATTTTCACCATTTGGTAAATCCCCAATGAAGTCTAGGAAAAACAAAAAATGGTCTTCCAGTGGTTGCTTCTTTTTTTATTTGCAGCCTATGTGGTACATTTTCAAGTGAAATTTCACTTGGATTACATTTATGTATACATGACCAATGAAATATTGTGAAAAAATAATCAGTGTTGTATCAGAATGAAATGCTTTTGGTAATCCATCGCCCTATTGCGTATCCGGATCCAGTGGTGGATTTAGCAATTTGGGGGCCCAAGGCGAACACAGATATGGGGCCCCCTTACACTAAATTTTCGACAATCTTATCTTTAACTGGATTTGCAAAACTGTCCCCTCTTCTGCCATGAGTTATTTTCACTTTTTATTAGTCCTCTTCTTTTTTCCTGTCTTTCTCTCCCTTTGAGTGCTTTTAATATTTGCTCTGCTTTCTTCTTCCTGTCAGTGCTCCTGTGCTTTTCCCTTTCTTTTTTTTTCTTCTATTTTCCATTTTGGTCTATGTTTTCCTCCCTTTAAACATTTTCCATTGTCTTTCCTTTTCTGCTTCCTTTTGATGTTTACGTAGAAAAACGACGTCACTTTCAGAAGTGAAGATAAAATCTTTTTTTGAAGCTAGCTGCTTCTTTCTCTTATTGGAGCCACTAGGATGACTCCATTTTATGCTTAATGTTTTGCCTACCGCTTCGAGTTAGTTATGAACGCTCCCGCCTCTCTTCTTCTTCTTTTTCTGCATTCTCTTCTTATTATTTGTGGTCTTATGGCACTTGGCAAACAACAATTTGGTGCATTACTGCCACCAACTTGATTGGATTGGAATGACTACCAATCACTTCCTGTTTGTGCATTGGTGTTTTAAAGGAATAGTCCATCGTGGCATTAACAGAGAGGTTCCAGCAGTCAGGGCTAGAGGGCCCCCCAACAAAAGGGGGCCCCAGGCGGCCGCCGACCTATGCCTAATGGTAAAACCGCCACTGTCCGGATCTGGGTTGTGGAGGCAGCAGCTCTAGCTTTGAAACATACACCACCCCACCAGACAGACTCCAAAGTATTATCTGGCCACTTTGGAGATCGAATCCCTCAAGAGTGTGCTGGTTAAACTCAAAGACCTCTTGCTGACAGGAGACGCAAAAAAACACCTCCTCTGGGAATTGTCCAGGAGGCTTTTCTAACCAATTGCACAGACCACCTTTAGTGGTCAGATCCCAAAAATCTAAAACTGCCCATTAGTATTTGTAAATGTAAATCAAGAAGTCAGATAATACAACTTTTCCAATTCTAGGAATTTTAAAATAGCTCATTAAGGTCTGTCTTAGGGTCTAAACTCAGAATGGTAGACTTCGGCATTTAGGAGACAACACATAAATAGTAGCTGACACTTTTGATTTTATACCACGTCACGTACATTTGCATTTAGAGTTTTCCAATAATTTCACATTTAAATACACAGAAATGTTAGATTTCAAATGCCAAATTTGTTCAAAACACACAAGATTTTATTATAACCAATTTATTTACAATAAAGCTAATTATTAAAATGACCAATCTGTTGTTTCAAAAGTACAAAGAGGCATTTTTGTTTTCATTCAGCATAAACAAGCTCTAGAAATGAAGAAAGGACTTCCACAACTGCTGGACAGCTTTAGAAAGTAACTTGTTACAGTGAAATGTCTCCATTCCTGATGCGAATTTCACGTGCCATCCTGCACATTTCACATGGTCCGCAGAAAAAAGTCATCAGGGTGTCATTGCATATTGTCCCCTGTGATTTAAAGAGAAGGACAAGAGAAATTTAGAAAAAGGAACACTTGTTCTGTTCAGAGAAACGTGATGCAATTCAAGTTTTTTTGAGGTCAGAGCAAACCGAGTTCATGAAATCTCTGTATGTCATAAGAGCTCAGAGGTTGACACTTGTTCACACCCAAAAAAGAGGAAATTGATTATTTTTATATAATAATGTTATAAGTTGTTAAAATTTAAATTGAGATAGAAATACCAAGAAAATTAAACTAAAGCTGTGCTGTAGTATGATGTCATCAGGGAAAGAGAAGGAAATTTGAAAATTTAACAGCTAAAGCACCCACCCCCTAGCCTGGCCTGCCAGACTCATCCTCTGTTTAATTCTGCACAGAGAACAGAGAAAGAGTCTGGCAGGCCAGGCTACCCACCCCCTTCTGGAAGGAGCTGAAAGCCACACCTCATACGACGCACACATGCACAAATAGCCTTAGTGCTAACCGACAAGTACTGTTTTTGTTATGTTCCTGCTCACACACACCTGATTATAACGGCTGAATTATCTCCTCAGCCTTCACTGGGTTCTGCAGGAGGTGCTAATCACTCATTTTAATCAATTCTGCAGTGCTCAAACATCTAAGACTAGCAGGAATCTGGCACTTGCGATGCTAGCACACCCGTGCTAACGCTACAACATGCTGAAACAATAGTTCGATGTAGTTCAAGGTAGAAAAAGATGGAGGCTGAGTTAGCATTTAAGCTAGGTTGGTGTGCTAAGCTCAGTGAGCCTCCGGGGATCAACCTGCAGTGCATGCCGGAAACTGGGGCGCATTCTAGTTGACTGACGTCTCCCTCTTCTGAATATGCAAATCTAATGGTCAAAGCTTTTTTGCTGGCACTTGGGGGAAATAAAAGTTATGAAAGATTGTCTACTTTATAGCACAGGGTCAGATGGTCAAAAGTAAGCATTTTTTAATACATGAGCAGTCGTACAGGTGCTGGCCAGTAAATTAGAATATCATCAAAAGGTTGAAAATATTTCAGTAATTCCATTCAAAACGTGAAACTTGTACATTATATTCATGCAATGCACACAGACCAATGTATTTCCAATGTTCATTACGTTTAATTTTGATATTTATAGGTGACAACCAATGAAAACATCAAATCTGGTATCTCAGAAAATTAGAATATTCTAAAGGCCAATGAAAAAATGTTTGTTTCTCTAATGTTGGCCAACTGAAAAGAATGAACATGAAAAGAATGTGCATGTATAGCACTCAATACTTAGTCGGGGCTCCTTTTGCCTCAATAACTGCAGTAATGCGGCGTGGCATGGACTCGATCAGTCTGTGGCACTGCTCAGGTGTTATGAGAGCCCAGGTTGCTCTGATAGTCGTCTTCAGCTCCTCTGCATTGTTGGGTCTAGCGTATTGCATCCTCCGCTTCACAATACCCCATAGATTTTCTATGGGGTTAAGGTCAGGCGAGTTTGCTGGCCAATCAAGGACAGGGATACCATGGTCCTTGAACCAGGTGCTGGTGGTTTTGGCACTGTGTGCAGGTGCCAAGTCCTGTTGAAAGGTGAAGTCTGCATCCCCATAAAGTTGGTCAGCAGCAGGAAGCATGAAGTGCTCTAAAACTTCCTGGTAGACGGCTGCATTGACCCTGGACCTCAGGAAACAGAGTGGGCCAACACCGGCAGATGACATGGCACCCCACACCATCACTGACGGTGGAAACTTTACACTGGACCTCATGCAACGTGGATTCTGTGCTTCTCCGCTCTTCCTCCAGACTCTGGGTCCTTGATTTCCAAAGGAAATGCAGAACTTGCTTTCATCAGAAAACATAACTTTGGACCACTCAGCATCAGTCCAGTCCTTTTTGTCCTTGGCCCAGGCGAGACGCTTCTTGCGCTGTTTCTTGTTCAAGAGTGGCTTGACACACGGAATGCGACACCTGAATCCCATGTCTTTCATGAGTCTCCTCGTGGTGGTTCTTGAAGCGCTGACTCCAGCTGCAGTCCACTCTTTGTGGATCTCCCCCACATTTTTGAATGGGTTTGTCGTCACAATTCTCTGCAGGGTGCGGTTATCCCTAGAGCTTGTACACTTTTTTCTACCACATTTTTTCCGTCCCTTCGCCTGTCTGTTAATGTGCTTGGACACAGAGCTCTGCGAACAGCCAGCTTCTTTAGCAATCACCTTTTGTGTCTTGCCCTCCTTGTGCAAGGTGTCAATGATTGTCTTTTGGACAGCTGTTAAGTCAGAAGTCTTCCCCATGATTGTGGTGCCTTCAAAACAAGACTGAGGGACCTTTTAAAGGCCTTTGCAGGTGTTTTGAGTAAATCAGCTGATTAGAGTGGCAGCAGGTGTCTTCTATATTCAGCCTTTTCAGAATATTCTAATTTTTTGAGATACCAAATTTGGAGTTTTCATTAGTTGTCACTTATGAATATCAAATTTAAATGTAATGAACATTGGAAATACATTGGTCTGTGTGCATTGCATGAATATAATGTACAAGTTTCACGTTTTGAATGGAATTACTGAAATATTTTCAACCTTTTGATGATATTCTAATTTACTGGCCAGCACCTGTATAGTAAGAATGAATGCCTTGTAAGTCGTACTCTGGGCTAATATAGCTCCGGTGCACCAGTTTCAGGAACTAGCAGAAGGCCACATCAGAGGAGAGCTTCAGATGGCAGGATTTAGACTCAAATTTCCTGAGTTTTCGACATCTCACCTCTGATTGGCCAACAACAAAGTGACTCTACCACTGACTGTTTGCTTTGCAACATTGATGTTTTATCTCCACAAATACCACAAGCCTGGAGGAGTTTTGCTGTGTAGTGAAGTTGCCAAACAGTTAGCTTTTACTAGCTGAGACATTCTCTGCTGTTTCCTGGACGGCAAACGAACAACAGCCTTTCCCGTCACGAGTCAAGAGGGGTGAGTTCATGAATGTTAACTGACAGTGTGACGTAGATCTGTCAGGATTTTCAAATCCTAGAGTTTCAACATGCATTTTCTATCAGAAGCTAAAGCAGGAAAGTAGGTTTAGGAGATTATATTAATGTTCAGCCTGCATGCTAAACTTAGATCATTTTCAAAATAGTAAGTCTGAAATGGTTCCTTAGTGAATTTGCTCTTTAAAAAAATCAAACTACATAATCCTGATTTAATATCAGAGAATGATAATATATGGGAGTAATATTTCATTTTAAATATCCAAATTTTTTTAAATAATTTTTTTCAGTTCAGTAGTTTCTTCTCCAGTTTAGCACAGTGCATTGTTCTGTAAGATGTGTGATGTACCTGCCAGTTAAAGTGTTCATACTGCTGACTTACCTGAATGCCATACGTCAGTCTCATATGAGTCCTTATGGCGGTCATCCCTCCTGGCAACCATGCCAAGCAACAGTTTTCTCCATACTTATTAGCTGTGTAGCAGCTCATAGCCATCGGACAGAAAAGACCAATGGCACCTAAAAATATAAATGCATCATTAAAAATATATTTTCAGAAATAGAAAAACAAAAATCTTTATTACTGTTATTATTTTAAACTAAAATGCAAATTAGGAGACTGTACTCACAGACCAAACTGTCACTGCAGCAGGAACACAAGCCTGTGCTCCAGTCTCCTGTTTGGACGTTGGTCCCATATCCGCCTGCTCCAGGCTGATGGGTGATCACTGGGTTTGACATCTGGGAATCTCAACTGTCTAGACTGTATTTAGCTGCCAATGACACAATTGCTGAGCGGCAAGAGATACCCAAAAAATCTTTCCATGCATCATCATCAAAGTGAAACACAAAGCTTTGAATTGAGTTATTTGGAATTAATGTTGTAAAATCTATAATTTCTACTTTTCATTCAAATGTATGGCCATGTCTTGTTCTATACATGACTACTTATTAAAATTGGGATGATGATCTTTCAGCAAAGCACACAGATGTTTCATGTCCTGTCTCTTTACTGAGACTTTAAGACAAATTAATTCTAGCACAAAAGCAAGTGAAATGAAACTACACACCGAGGTGTAAAACCAGTTATAGAACCAGAAAGAAGTTTGCAACTGAATCTTATGTCATTTTGACTAAATTACCAGAGACGTTTGAGCTAATCTACTGCCTGAAAAAATGAAGGTGTAACTTACCAGAAGTGCCTGTGAGACTGAGCTCCACCTGATCAAACCGACAAGCTCACACACCACACAGGAAACAGTGACGAACTCGAGTAGTGAAACGTCGCTTTGCCAACAAACTGCTGTTTCTGAGGATGACAATGATCTGTGGTGGTTTGAACTGGGTCAGTTCACAAGAACTGCTGGTGTTTGATGGTCAAGGGTCAGCTGCTGCAGGTCAATCACGCTAACACCTGGATCTTAAGAGTTCTCCCACCAGAAAATGGCTGTTCCGGAAACTAGTATTCTTGTGAGAATCGCTACAACCAAAGTTTTTGTGCAACCGCAGAATTCATCAGGTCCTTATCAGACAGCTTGCGGTTTCACTCAACCAGCATAGCATGACACAGCCGCAGTTTGGAAAAGATTTGCTCTCAGTGTGAAACGGTGAAAAAGCGCGTGCAACTCTGGATCTGATTTTGTGCAACTCCCAGAAAAAGGTCTTAAACATTCAGGCTTATGTAGCAGGAACTGATGCAACTTGGTTTTGAGGTTGGAGGAGTGACATCGACTTGAGACCTTTTGCAAAGTAACCCGAATTTTTCTAAATCAAAAGCTACCAAAGTTTCTCGTATTTATTATTTTAACCAACTCCTGGTGTCCTTTTTGTTACCCAGCAAATATCAGAAAATATGACAACACAAATAAACTAAATGACTGTAAACCCCATGTTCCTCGTGACTCCTGGGAAGAAAAACTATTAAAATTGCACAAAACTGGAGTTTTTACCAACTGCAGATGTGAAACTACTGGCTCCTAGAATGTGGACAAAGGTGGACAATGTGGAGTTAAGCCACAGACAACAAAGCAAAAGGTCTCCACCACATGACTACCATTTGATCTGCGTCCTATTTAGTAGACAATTTGCATTATTTTTTCATTTAAAACATTTTTTCTAGCTTAAGAGTCTTAGAAATGAAGTATTTTGGAAATCTGAATATTTTGCACAAATGAGATCCATCTCATTACACTTGCATTGATCTCTATAGGAATGATTGCTTTATAAGTTCTTCTCTCATGAGGAGAAAAGCTCAGATGCGCCTGAATCAGGCTGGAGGACTTAGACCCGATCATAACACTCGCACTTCCACCCTTGCGTCCGGGGGTGCGACTGCGTAGGGCAGGTCTATTCAATTCTGGGCCTCGAGGGCCGTTATCCAGCATGTTTTGGTGGTTTCGCTGCTCCAACACACTTGATTCAGTGGTTGAATCACCTATGCAGCAGCTCATCAGACTCTGCAGAAGCCTGTTAACAGAGGTGTGGACTCGAGTCACATGACTTGGACTCTAGTCAGACTTGAGTCATTATTTTAATGACTTCTGACTTGACTTGATAAAATGTATAGACTTATGATGACTCGGACTTGAACGCCAATGACTTGCGACTTGAATCGACTTCCATCTGTTGACTTGAGCTTATTTGATATTTTAGCACAAAAGTGACACGACATGGACAAAAATCATAAATCCTTCTTCGTTCTGGGTTAGATCTTGTTCTGCTAAATGCAGCAGCTCTTTGGTTATAACCAACTTCAGTTGCACTTTGGACTTCCACATCTTTGACTTTGGACTCGACATGGACTTGACTCGACTCGAGACTTGACTGGAAAGACTTGTGACTTGCAAAGCAGTGACTTGGTCACACCTCTGCCTGTTAATCACCTGCTAATTGAAATCAGGTGTGTTAAAGCAGCGTTGAAACCAAAGCGTGCTGGATAGCGGCCTAGAGTTGAATAGCCCTGGCGTAGGGTGTCCCACATCTCAAGTGCGGAACCCTTGATCCGCATCGATGCGAACTTCGGCGATAGGCATTACCCACAATTAATTACTGCGTGGGAATTTTGAGAAGAACTTAGCATGGCTCGAGGGCCTTTTCTGAAAATATGTATTTTCAAATGACTTGAGACTTCATTTTGGTGCGATTAGTAATATTTATGCTCCGAATGTTTTAGACAAAGATTTAATGTGAACTCCAATTAATGTAAATCAAGTCAAATCAATGTCTGTTTGAAAGTTAAGGATTATTTTAAAAAGCAGCACAAACGACCAGCATGTTGACGTGCGTTGTGGCTGATGATGCAGTGTTCCATCCCAATTTGGGGCACTTAAGTGCTACGCATTCGAACCCTTATCGTAGGGCGCAGCGCAAATATTGGGATTGGGCCCTAGTAGCATCAGACGGCAAGACTTTCCTGACAACTCGTCTCAGATTTGATCACAGCAACACGACTCAACACGCTGACTTGCAATGTTGACGTTTTATCTTCACGAATAACACAAGCCTGGAGGAATTTCTCATGTGTGGAGGAGTCGCTAATGCTAACTGTTAGCTTCTACTAGCCAAGACGTTCTCTGCAGTTTCCTGGACGCTAAACCAGCAACAGCCTTCCTCGTTGTGAGTCAAGATGGGCGAGTCCATGAAAGTTAAGTGACAGTGTGACGTAGATCTGTCAGACTTTTCTAATCCTAGTTTTCGTCTGTTTTCTACCAGAAGCTAATGCAGATGGGTGTAGTTGACTATGTTCATGTTCAGCCTGCATGAAAAACGCAGACACCGCCGGTTATGATCAGAAATAATAATTACAAAATGTTTTTTCAGTGTTGCACACCTCTAAGACTTATAGTCTAAATATACGGGGAACAGATGACGTGAGATTGAAGTTGGAGGTTAAAAATACAAATAAACAGAAAAAGAAGCAGTCAGAACTGAAGGTTACGTAGACTACTTTTATTGGTTTTGAACTTTAGTTGGATTTTCTTTCGTCCGTGTTGCGTGAACTCTGCTTCAGCCGTTGCTCCGCTTTCTGCTTCTGCACAGCCTTGAAAACCTGCAAAGCAACACATGACAAGTGTTAGGGTGTGAAAAATAGCTGAAACCAACATCCTGAAGCTCTTGTAGTGATGCTGATGACAAAATAATAAAAACAATAAACGGTGCAACAAATCATCTTTGCTCGCCCCCCTCAGGGACTCGCTGTCATTTGTTAATAGGCTGGAGAAGTTCTTCAACCCTCACATCCGTCCGCTCTGGCGTCAGGCATGGGCGGCGAAGGAAGAGGCCCTCCGGACTCGGATGGCCCGCACCACACAGTCTCTGAGAGAACACGTACGACCGCCCCTGAAGTCCCTGCTCTTCAGAGAGCATCTTCTGAACTAGCACCCTCCCTGCACCCGTCCCCCCTCTCTACCGTCCACTCCTTTGTTCCCTCCTCTCCATGATTGATGTCAAGTTGTTGTTCTTGTTAGCCTCAACGGCAACATGCCGATTATCACTCGTGAGTTGCTTTGGACAAAAGCGTCTGCTAAATACATAATAAATAAACCCAAATGTGAACAAAACAGACATTTTTCTTTTACCTTGATGCAGAATTCCTTCTTGGCCAGCCAGCGTTTGGTCGCCCGTCTGTAGTACTCTGGGGGGAAGATGTAGGTGATGCCAAGCTGTTCACACACCTTCTCAAAGCTGTTATAGTTAGTCAGCCGCAGCCTTTTCAGAAGCTTTTTCCTCCGGTCAATGTTCATCAGCATCCGCCTCTTATTGGCTTTGTCCTGGAGAGAGAAGAAAACAAAAGCACCCAAAAATTATACATAAATGAGCAGAAAGGAGGAAACTTTGCCTATTAGGAACTCAGAAATGAAAGCTACAGTTTAAACTAATGGCCCATGTTCAATAACTAGCATCTAAAAGAAGAATCTTTAAAGCGTGACGTGATACGGAAACTTCCGACCATGAGTGTGCTTGTGCATGCTTTTATTTCAAGTAGGGTCGTGACAGGATTTCCTGTAGAACATCGTCTCCTCTCACCAGTGGATGTCAGAGACGAGAGAAGAAACCCGAAGCACGAAATCACAATCACACCCTGAAATGAGACTTTTTAAACGAGTCAGTAGAAAAGATGAGACAAATCCATTTCATTCACCTTGCGGTGTTTTTCCAAATGCTCCTGATAGTTTCGAATTCTTGCCGTCAGATCGGCCACTGGGAAAAGAATGATCGTTATAATCCCGTCGACCATCTTTGGATTTCAGTAGAAACGCCTTCCAAGTTCAGCCGCTCACCTCTGACCTCCACCGAGTCACGGTCAGTCTCATCCTGCTGGACCTTTGCAATCAGCTGTTCTTTCTTCAGTTGTAGTTTCTCTTTCTGCCAAAAAGAAAATCATCAATATTATTTAACTACGTGTTTACAGCAGCTAAAGCTTCCCACTAATTACCTAACTTATTAATTATATGTGTAAATAGAACAGAAATTTTTATCAATGTGAAAAAAGTTTTTTTGTCCCACTTCTTTCCTGTAACGGGTCATTTCAAAGAGAAAGATGAAACTTTTCCAAAACCATTAAAACTAATTTTTGCTGAGTCATGAGTCCTTACATGACTTGCCAGTTCCAGAGAAAGAAGACGTTTGACAAGGTCGTCCGTCCTGCAGGAAGAAAATACGAGTGAAGAGCAAAAGATCAACAACCTCCAAATAATACACTATAAATGCATCAAGAATGGTTTTTTTCCTTTTTTGAAAGAACAATACATTCTCACTCCCAAGACGTCTAAATATGACGCGTGACCAAACCTCAATATATGACGATTCGCGACGCCCCAGCGCGTGAGAGGGTGCTCGCTGCAGAACTACAAAGGTGGAGCTGCACCAGCGTCGTCCCCCCCCCATTCATGCAAACTCAGCCTAGCCCACTGACTTCTTCTGTTTTTGTTTTCAACTTTATCGCAAACTAACCTGACCCACATGAATTACGGCTGTTGCTAGTTTACATTTGTTAATGCTGTGTTCTATGCTCCAATTAAACAAGATAAATATAACTTGCTGCTTGACAAAGCCTGAATATATCCCGAAATAAAAAGGTTTCTTTTAGCGAATATCTGCAAACAGCCACTCCAACAAA